GAAAATGCAAATTGAATGCGCTGATGATTGACTTGCTAAAAAAGTGCCTTAAAAAATAACCGTGGCAATTCTGAAATATTTTAAATTTGATTTCCGACCGAAGAAATAATTCTACGAGACTCATAGCAACTAAAAAACACGATGGCAATTCAAAAAATATAGCGTTCAATATTTTAAATAAAAATGTTATTTAATCTTTAACCTGTCACTGCACATGTTGGTTATATTTGGAATATTTAAAAATTCTAAACTTGAACAACGGTGTTACGTTCTGATCATTCCATGTATAGTTATAATTCTGTGCCGTGCGGCATAAGCCTGTCACCCTCTATAACAGACATGGGCAAACTACGGCAAGCGGGACAAATCCGACCCGATGGGTGTTTAAACTGACCCGCCTGATGCTGCCACAACCAAACTAAAACCAAAATTTTCATGTTGAACTAAAAATATATCAAAGAATTTGTTGAAATAATGATTAAATTTAGTTTTAGCACGAGGCTCATTGCTTTCCACTTTTGCTTTTGTAAAAGTGTAAATATTGTTAATAAAATGTAACTGTTTACGTCACACTCACTTGGCCCACAGTCAAAAAACCGTGCCCACCCCTGCTCTATAACTTTTTAACACTTTCGATCTATCGCACGTTTATCGAAAGGTAAGTCGCTTCCTGAGAAAAGTTCGCAATTCAGATCAAAACTGACTAATCAACTAAAGAGCCGACGGCGAATTATGCTTGAGGAACTATCGATGAAAAGACTTTTTAAATTATCGTGTAATGATTTTATATGAGTTTTTGTTCGACTGGTTCAAATTTCTTATTATACCAATCAGCCGTGTGTTTTTTCTTTGTTCATAACAACTGTTACACACTGCGTTGTGTTCGCAACACGTTCGCACAACATAAAACAACTTTCGTTATAAAATCTTGTTATAATTCGTAATCATATTAAATTTCGTGTAATGGGATCCTATTAAATCCATATCGTATTGAAATGAACAATAATTTAAGTACGCCCGAGCAACACCCGTTGAGTACGCCCGAAACAAACACGAGGGAGAGCACCACATCAAAATCGATTAGTATATATATCATTGGGTTATGAAAATCCGATGCAAATCTGTACTACCTTTGCAATGCGGCGATTATTTTTTGTTGTTTTGAAATTTAAATACGGTTTGCTATAATGACTCGCATCCAGAATATGGGAATAATATCACTGAATCTTTGGTATATATTCAATATTTATTCTGGCTAAATTTTAATCCCCGTTATAATGAACTATGTATTGCTGATAGTATTTATTTTTCTAAATATTTAGAAAATAATTTCATCCCGATTTAAATTTCAAATCGGAGACTAATTACAATGACAATGGCAGCCATGAATTAAATAATGGTATCCTTTGACGACGTTTCACTTTCCATCAACGTGGGGGAGGAGCTAAAAGTAACTCGGAAACGGTTAGAAAATGACATTTTGCTAAAGGAGGGGACTAAACTATCAATCGAACAAATTTTCAAAGCCCCAACAATCTGTTTAAGCGCCGCCCATTTAAGTTCTAGGGGGAAACATTATCAACAAATTTTCGGAACAGCTATGGATTCCCCCGTGTCGGTCGTTGTTGCCAATATGGTTATGGAAGATGTAGAAGAAAGGACATTAACAACATCATTCCCTAATATTCCAAGAAATTGAGACAGATATGTTGACGATGAATTCTGCGACACGTTTCATGACCACATTAGTACGATTGAGCCCAGTATACAATTCACTTTAGAAAAGGAACTCAATGGGACAATAGCCTTTTAGATGTACAGATACAGAGAGGGGGAAATGGGAAATTAACGACCGATATATTTGAGTAAAAGACCCATACAAATCGCTATCTTAATTTCAATTCAAACCACCCGGTAAGCCATAAACGTCAGTAGCCTTATCAATCGCGCCAAAACCCTAATATCAGTTGAAAAAAAGCAGAGGCAAGAAATCAACTTTATTAAAGATCTTAAGACAAGATAGATATCCAATGAAGATGTTTAAAATTCAAAGCAATTGTCGAAAACCGAGCAAGGAACCAAAATCGATCACAGCCACTACAATTTCATATATTAAAGCGGTGGTTCCCAAACTGTGGGTCGCGACCCCGAGCGACGGGGTCGCGTGAAGATTTTCTGGGGTCGTCTAACTTATGATTATGCAATAATTCGCTTACAATTAACTAGGATTTTAAAACAGGAAAGCGAATTTTTACTGGTCAAGTAGCAGTGAATGCGATTTAGTGTTAAGAACGTCAATGATATATCCCCGTTTTCAGCTTTTTATCCGTGGTAAATTTTAATAAGTAGCTGACTTTGGTCATGATCTTGCAACATTCTTTACATGTGCACCTACAGGCGAAACTATCCACGTTTTCGGTTGAATTCGGTTTCACGATAGAATGAGTTTTGGGAGAGATATTTCCAAAAGTTAGACGTGTGACCTAAAATTTAGATCCACTATATAGGCTCATATCACTGTATCGCACTGATGCGTTGTTCCTCTGTCCGTTGCGTATCGATGTACCGAAAACGTACATTGGATGTTATAATGTTGAGGTTATCGGCAGATTTGTGCTAATTTAAAGCAGTCAAAAGCAGTCATTTACCGGTACAGGAAACGAAGTTGCGTGTGGTTATATTTGTTTATTTTAGAATAATTTAATGCAGTGCTTGAAGCAGGGATGTTCAATTCGAATTTTATATTTGCATATCGCGACCGTCTAATATCGTTTTTGGTGTTTATAAGAATACCGAATATGGCGCGCATGTCCTAGCGCCAAATTCAAATACAGGATTTCAATTAGCGCCGACTTTAATAAGTGCTTATAACACGTCGAGGATGTTTTTGCTTAAAAATATGTTACAAATTATTATCGTATGTTTCAATTTAGTCAAGATATTTTGTGCGGTCTCGGAAATAAATCTAGAAGTAAATTGTGTCCTAATTAATTGTTTCAATCCTCAGTTTCGATATTGACTGAACATAAGGGGAAATTTCATTTTTTTGCAATTTAGAGCGTATGAAATAGCTCCTAAAGTATTTTTAGTATCTATCACGGATTTTGTCGTTATTCCGACGTAGTTGAAGACAATATCGTTCAGTTTAAGTTGGCGGTATTCTTTTATAAGCAAAAATAAAATCATAACAACCGACATGAAATATTTAAATCAGCGCCGATTCGAAAATTAAAACACGATTTCTGGTCCTAATTCTCCATCATTGGCAGATGGAAATCGGGGAATCGGATTCACTCATTTGTTTATGACGATAAACGCGTAATAACATTTGCGTTTTTCTGAATCAATGAATGGTTTTGCGAGCAAAATAAAAAAAAAGGCCCGCGGTAGCTGCTCTGTCAGACTCGCAGCAACTACCTGCCATCCATCCCATTGGCCCGTTTATTTCCCACGAAGAAGACGATACGCGTGACAGTTAAAATAAAAATGAAATGAGAAAAAGCAAAACAAAAAATAAAAAGCGATAACGTAAAACAAAAAAAAAATGAAAAACAGAAAAGCAAAATAAAAAAGATAAAACTCTAATTTTGATTTTCGTGTGTGTGTGTGCTCATTTTTGTCAGGAACAAATTAATTTCGTTTGTTTGGTTTCTATTGTACTGTTCTCGTTGCGGGGTCGTGAATATCTGTAAATGTTGATTTTACAAGAATTGGGGTCGCGAAAAAAAAAAGTCTTAGTGGGAAATTACGAAGAATTTTAGAAGTGGTGGAATTTTGCGTAAGTTTCAAACAGCAAAATACAATAGGCCTATTGCTCTCCAACGTCAGAGACCGCCCGTGTCCTGAACAAAAAAAAATTTGGTTTGGTATATGCAATTCCGTGCCGCGGCTGTTACCTCTATTTACATTGGAGAAACAAAATAAGTCTTGAAACTCTGAGAAAAGAACCTCAGCGGGATGTCAAACAAAAGAAATCTGAAAAGTCGGCCTTTTCTACAGATCACAGCATTGATTGAGAAAACAGCAGGATACTAGAGAATGATACTCACTACAGGAAAAGACTATTTCAATATCATGCCGCGAATAAAAATTCGAAATGTCGGCAAATTACATCTTTTTGCTATACAGCGGTTGCGCTTTATTTATCGTCGACATGAATATACCTGATGGCAATCATGCCATTCATGCGCTATATTTATCTGTATAATATTATTGTACGGATAAATGCATAAGCGAACGTAACTATCGTTTCACTCCACATACAAACATAAATAGTTTTACCCGATGAAGTTTTCTGCTTGGGTGACCCCTGAAGTCGTCCGCAAAAAATAGGGAACTTTTGACAGACAGTTCGTATAAAAATCCTATTTGGGCAAATCTGAAGTAGAACTCAATAGCAGCAACCATTGATAGCTTCACTGATATTAAACAATCCCAAACTGTTAAAAATGAAGTAAAGACAATGGCATTTAACAGTGACTGTAATGAAAATGACCTAGATCAATGAATGCTATTGTAAAAATTGGGGAAATAATTGCAATTTAATACTATCACATTAGTGTATGATTTTTTAACGAACAATCAACATGAAAAGTTAGTAAAGTATAAGTTATGAATAGCGATGTCCAGATGGTAAATATGATGGTTGAACTATCATAATTAGCTTGAGATAAAAATTGAAGAAGTTATAAAGAATACGGGTTGAACATTGGTATGGACTCTGAATGGCCAGTAGGTGTTATATGTAGGTCCATGCACATCTGGTGAAGAGAAACTAATAGAAAGTTTTGAATGTCTCTATATACACACTTTTATAAATAAGAAAGAATATTTTTTAAAACTGTTTCCTTCTGTTCGTTCCAGTTGTGATTTGAGTCTTTATTCCGCGAACTGCTTTGGAAGTATTTTGTTTAGTAATTCACTAAGTAATTTTATTTCCGTCTAAACAGTTTTTTGATAAAAATGTTTTTGAATTTAATTTAATCCGTGGCGAGGCAATTATGGCCTCCAGCAGTGATGACAATTATCATCTGGTGTTTCCTTGGCAACTGAGGTATGTGAAAAAGAACTGGGAAATAACGAAACAATTTAAGATTTTGATTCTTACTTTAAAACGTTTGGATTCGGAATATATAAAAGATTTGGAATATTGTTTAGAAAGGTGTTTACTGAATGATGTCCGTATCAGAGAAAGTTTTAAAGATCCTGCTCAACTGCATAAAGTACTTCGAGCAATCAAGAATAATAAGTTAGTTAATGAGGTAAGTTGCATCTCCTATTACTACTAGTTCATGAATTATTTTTCCCATCCTGTATAACATATTTTGTATTTTTATTCATTGAAGCCAAATACAAGCAGACAGCTTGACCCTGGTGTTTTGTCCAATTGCCATCTGGACAAATACAATCATTTGGCAAATTATAATCACTTACATAATTCCAATCTACTAATGACTTCTTATGTCATTGATTCGACTCCAGTTGGCCTAGGGACGACTTATTCAACACTTAATGTGTCTTGAGTCATCTAAATCAGGGGTGTGCAAACTGCGGCCCACGGGCCAAATGCCGCCCACAAGGAAAAATGGTGCGGCTCGCGGAGAGTTGCCAATTTTGAATGGGTGTGCCCGCATAACGAGTTTTTAGTTTATTTAATCTGGTATGTACAAGAAATCCCAATCCCTTTGAACTGCAAAGCCTATACCAGTACTTGAAATGCCACTGTCATATTAGCAGGAAATAACTAGCAAAATCCTGTTGCAAAATACAGAATGTTATGAAAATGTGCTTTTCACTGAATTCGTTTGAGGTCGTTGTAGCAATAAATTTGAATAGCAGTTTTTTTTAGAAATTACCCGTTTCAACTCACCATTTCTGAGAGAACCCCTGATCGTAAGATCAATAACTAAAAGGAGCAATTTTTGTGCTTGCAACTACTAGGAAGGCTATCTTAAATGAAGGTGCGGCATTACCGGTAAATACCTCAGCAATCAACCTAAATGCCGATTTATTTAGAGATTTTTAATCAGTATTGCTAGTAACTCTTGAATGGCACTAGTCAAAATTTCTATTGTATTATAAGAACTAAACAGCGATTTTAAAGTATATCAAGGTAAATTTTCCCTCTTTTCGAATATATCTATTATGCACTAAATTATGTTCAATTTTTCCTTGCGCTTGCTTTCCTTCACTTGCGCAGTGTAAATGAATTTTTTCTATGTTAACTAGCAATGTATTTCTTTATCGATAAAAGAATCCATTGGAATGCATGCACATCTTTGACATAATATGGTCATTATATGAATCATTTTCTAATTATCATGTTTTAATGGTTTTAATGAAGAACTATTAATGCTTTTTTGAGTATGATCTGATGAATTTTTCGAAAGTGAACCCAAGAGCAATTCACCCTCTTTAAACACCTGTAACGAGCTGTTTCATTAATAGCTGCAGAAAGTGGAACTATTACCTTCTGATCATTAAAATTCGTTGTATATAAGAAATGTTTATTATGTCATAAAAAGGGATTGACTTGATTTAATGCAATTTTCTGACAAGCTTTTGATGTGATAAATCTCACTATGTGCAAAGAATGTGTATATAGGCCCAACATACATGGAAATTCAGTTCAGTTTATTCATCAAACTGTGAACAGCTAGTTTAAACTTTTGTTTCAAGTCCAGTATGCAACACAATATTGCCACACACAGTTTGCACACCCTTTGTCACATCCCTTCAGGTTGAAGATCTTGGGTTAAAAAAAAGTAACTTTTTATGTGTGACTGACTCCTTGTACACTGACTTGATTGGAGAAACAAGGAAAAACATAAACAAAACAAATTAATGAAAATTGCTGATTTTTGTGATTAACCCATTTAAAAATAAATCTTATTTTCAGGACAATCGAATACAGCTAGACATCAGAGAAAATGGGATAAACTTTGATTGTATCAAAACTTTGCTTAAATTGATTAAGAGAGGAGGGATATCGGCTTTAGACTTACCTGAAGAACTCAAAATGGAATTTGCAACAGCTATTTTAGAAGCCTTACATAGTGTTCCAAATGAGGTATTTTGCATGCTATTTTTCAAAGATTATATATTATCCTTCCTATTCAATGAAAGACACCATACTAGAATGTTATTTTTAATTCTTCTCTGATTGAAAAAATGAATTAATTCATTGAATAGTTTCCTAAAATATAATGTCTTAATTGTACATTTAAATGCACACACAAGATATTTCAGTGTTCCAGATCCAGGGAGAATGCAGGCATATAATGAACCCTGATTTTTTGACCTGTTACACTGCCATTGGAAAGCTCACGAGATAACTCTTAAAAATGCTTGGTCATGATCGAAAGATGCAGCGATAAATAATATAAATCAGATTTGACAAGAAGTCATGTAATCATCTGCATCATTGAGCCACACATACCTTGGATGTAAATTCTACACAAGTTAATCACAGTGATGCATTGTTTAAAAGAATGAAGTCACAGCCAAAATACTCTATCGAGGCTTAGAAGATGTGCATGATATCAACTGATTACATTTTAAAATGAATAATATTTCAACTCAAGAGTTATTTTTGATGATTTTACTTGAATTTAATTTGTTTACTTGATTTGTTGAATATTATGCACATGTGTTACATACGATTATTTTTTTCTAGATTGCTGTACTCAGCATGAAAAAGGCAGTATTGAGCAAAACAAGCATTACTTGTTTAAGTACAATGCTGCATGATAAGAAAATTACAAAGTATCTTAACTTGGCTGGATGTCATGGTCAACATCATCTGCTACTCAAGCACGACTTGGAACAATTAAAGGAAGAAGCTTCTAAACAGGTTTGATATAAACTTGTTATAAAATTTATTTCCAGATAAGAGTGGGTAGAGGAAAGTCTTTAGAAATGTTATTCGTTGACTGTATTGATTTATTCAAATTATAATCTGTGATTGACAGGGTAACTCCAGCTCGCCATCAGTTACATAAACCACCTGGCTATGACATGACGTTTACAATTTTCTGGCTTGTTAACATATCCCCTGAATGAAATTATCCATATGCAGTTGATGATTTCCAAATTCAATTAACACTCTTGCTTTTACAGAGAGAACTCAAAACTGATTGGTTTCCCGTCTACAATGAAGATGATGATCCATATGAAGCAGTAAGTAAGCTTCATGTTGAGATAGGATAAGTTTTATTTGAGTACTTTTGAGTGACGTGAGTAAAGGCAACAATGAAACCAAAATATCAAGGAGGGAGGATTTCAAAGTAAATCATTTTTATTTTTGTAAGTGGGATGGGGTTTCAAAACTTGAAAGATTTCAACATTCAGAAAGGGATTTCACAGATAATTAGACTAAACGAACTCAAATAATTTATACCACATATGTGATTAATTTGCAGAAATGTTTCATTTCATGGCTTAGATAAACATTGCATATATAAATAACTTAAATATTCATTAATATGCCAACTTCAGGAAAACAGTCAGTCATTCGGTTAATGCCATCAACTTCCCCAATGTAAGAATTATAACAGCACAATTTTTTAATTATAAAACCACAGAGATTTTATACTCGAAACTTGAATGATCCAAAGTCCAAGTAGCTTTTATCATACTTGCAAATTTTTTTTTAGACTTTTCTCATTCAGTAGCCTATCATTTTTACACTTGAACATGAGAAACAGGTACATGTACATGGAATTCCGCATGAAAAACACATACCGATATACTACAACATAGGAATATAGGCTTTTACAAATTAATCGAGGGAGAGGAAAGTTCATAAAATTGTTTAATAATATGATATCACAGTCTCTTGTTTTGTTGCCAATCTATACTGCACAACAAAATATTTGAGCAATTATTTTTCTCAGAAGCATGGACATGATGGTGGAAAAATCCATAATTGGGTAGTGTTTAGGTGAACCATCCTACGATGGCAACGAGTCCTGCAATTCCCTTGCACCTAATTAGCTTGCTTACCTGCAAAAAGTAATCAGAGATGCAATACCAAGCAAAAAAGGCTAAAAGCCTTTCTTGCATCCAGATGCTATATATATGTTGGGCAATGCATAATCACAAACTGAAAGAAACATACGTGATTCAATTTTTATTAAACATCCAATTTGATAAAGGAATTCCCTTTTTTAATTAATTCATCACTGTATACTTTTCAGATAACAAAACTTCCTCCCAAATTGTCTTCCATGTATTTGGCATTTGAGTCAGGAAATTTGATGAAAGTGGGATACCACGCAAAAAAGAAGTTTACAAAACAGTTAAAAAAGATGAAAAATCCTGTGACTAAAAAATCAAAGGTAGGAAATGGCTTGAAACTCATTTAATAAAGACTTATTCCATCAAGTACATGTTAAAAGAGAAGTATTGGTTATCTGCCTATTTATTATCTTATCTAACAATTTTAATGTCTTTAAGTTTTACTATACAATGTTTTTATCTGGACCAAACAATTATAGTAAATAAAATAAAACATGTGGATTTATACTTGGATGACCTCTGATATTGAATGACCTGGGACTCAACTCAGGGTGTAGGAACTTCCGCCCAACACTGTTATTCAATAAATAAAAACCATATTTACTGCGGTGTTTTTGACATCTGTCTTTGGTAATGTTTCTTTATTTATTCATAAATTTATCTTCCAATCAGAACTATTTAATCTACTCTAGGAACACCAATCCTATGAAGATCAAAGCAGAAAGTCTAATCTAATGAAGGTGAATCTAAAAACAGTGTCAGATTGATTCTTCTTTACGAAACGTCAAATGGCTTGTTGCTTTAAATCTTGGCATTATTAAAATGACCAAGCCATTGCTGGACACATTTTTGCAAAACTTCCAAGATATATTACGCAGACATATTGGCCTATAATTTATCAATATTACTCTATTTAAATAGTGAATAGCTGGCTATAAATTCTCAAAGAAACTAATTAACGAAATTACCTCCATTTGTTATTATGTTAAACATTTATAGAAAAGAAGCAATTATCGATAATGGGAATGGGTTCAGGTTTTATAATGGGTGGCTACTTAGGTGGATCATATTGTAATATTTGTAAAACAGGTTTTTTGAACCTATTTTTTAGATGGATGAACACTCAGGTGACCCTCTGACCTCAACAGATGATAATTTAGAACGATCATCAAATGAAAAAAATATAGAGCATTCAGAGGTAAAAGTTTTTGAGTAATTTTTTTGAACAGCAAAACAGTATGATGTGTGAACACTTTACTAGAGAGCTTCCAAATTACAAGTTATACTGAAAAATAAAGACAACAAATGCAAAATTGCAAATATTTGCTGTAAGTAAAACACACTAATTATTTTAGTTAATTTAAAAACTGCTAGTTTTTCTGTTGAAGATATATAGCACTCAACTAGTACTAGTGAAACCATAGTATTAGCTGGTGTTTTTAATTTTTATGCCGAAAAACTATTGGCGCTTCAGTAGCAGGGATGGCCAGTACCGAATAGTTCACTATTTCGAATACATTCGAAATTATTATTTTCGAATATGAAATTTTGAATACTTCGAAAATAAAATCCAGTAATAGAATCTAAGTGTATGAAGGAATTTTCATACAATAAACAATGGGAAAACTTCTATTTACAACCTGGCTATATTACCAGGCATTTCATGTTTGCAGATTATTGCGATATATATTTTATATAACATGAGTTGTGTTAATTAACAGAATTAAAATAATACGACAAGGCATTTTAAATAGTGGTATCGGTGATGGATTTGAATGCTTGCGCAACACAAAATCATCCTAGTAAAACGCCCATACTTTTAAATACCAACCATTATCCAAATTATTTGTCAAAAAGCGGGATAAAGTATGAGTTCTTTTTCAGACTTGTGACAATTTTTTCTTGAGTACAAAAATACGAATCAAAAAGTAATTATATTCGGGAACTTTACCACACATTTTAGTCCGCAGATCGCCGTTGTATGTTTGTGTAATAATACTTTTATTATTTTATAAATACGAAAACTATTTATAATCGGGTAGTTTACCACACATTCAATGTCCAATTCAATGGTATTAATACTTTCATTATCGATACTTTTGACTTAAATCACTTACTTAATCTCGGTGGCGGTGGCCGTGTTTTCTCTTTTAAGTAACGATAACCGGCCTACGATTAAATATCATGATTGGCAGACCCATAAAAACCAAATATAAGGTTAACACAAATCATGCTTGAGAAGACTAATGTGAAAAATAAGCAGGCCACATAGAAATAAAATAAACATGCCTTCTCAATAAGACGCGCCACACCCCCCAAAAAATCAAGCCAAAATTGGGTCTAGAAAAGCAAAAGCGACTTATTAGCCGGGAAATACGGTGATTGTCGATTTTTTGACTAATGGAAATGATTTTGTGAATTAAAAGACGAATGTCGGCAATGTCCACCAACGCAAACGTGCAAATGTGTCGCAACACTATGCGACGTACATTCGCGCTGAATATAAACAATCAAAATGCCGACTCTATTTCATCGTCATTACAATACGCGAGAAAGCGTAAAAAGTCGTTTGAAGATTCCGGTAAAACGAAACACCGTGTTTACGGCGAAAAGTGACTACTATTCGTAATTATTCGGAAATGAGCCGAAAAGGTATTCGAATACTTTGATATTAGAATAATTTCGAATATTCGATTCGTTTTGGACAACCCTGTTCAGTAGTATGTGAACCAAGATGGCGGACATCAGAATGTAGTATGTGTACCAGGTTAGGGTTAAGACATAATTTTATTCCAATTTTTCCTATTTTAGTTCTATTAAGAGTTCGCGGACTAGCCAAGCGACTCTTGTAGTATTTGTACCTGAAATTATGACCTAACCCCAACCTGGCAAACATAATACGTTCCCTTGTACTGCATTAGTACCAAACTTTGCTAGGTCAGTTAAGGGCGGTATCATAAATTTATGAAAATTTTGTTTATTCAAAAAGTTGGTGAAAGTTGTGTTACTTGAGTTCTATATATCTTCAACATGAATTTATCTATCATGCATATCATGCACCTCTTATTATTATTTATATTATTTCCTTTATTTTCAGAGACTAAATGATTCTTCAAACTTTGAAGAAGAATTGAAAGGTACTTTCTAATATTTTATCTTTTTCATTTCACTATCATGAAATTCTTGTAATCATTTGCAGGTTTGGAGATTTCAGGATTGGAAAAAGTCAAACCCCATTTAAGATATAACAAAGGAGGAAAATATTCAATTACTGTATATAATAATATCGGATATGTTGCAAAAGGCAAGTATAAACATTCATGTTTTCATTTATATGAATTTGTACAAGACTAGATAATGTAAGCAACACGACCGAGGCTAATTCCACCATCATCACTTTATAATCACTTTGACCTGGACTTGAGAATACCAAAGTTTTGGATATACCTTTTTTAATATTTGCTGAAGCCAAAACTCACTCAACTTGAAAGAAAAATGCCCAAATGTGAATGCCATAAGCACGGTGAGATAAATAAGACCCAGAGCATTCCAAACACAGATTGTCAACTTGATTGAGCCAATATGCTAACCAACCATAAAGCCATGAATAATATTTGTTTGATTTTTCCAGGTGACGTCCACAATGATGTTAAAGCACAAAATATTGCTTATGATAATGCATCACTTACAGCAACCGGAAGTTCTACCTTTATACCAAGTATGATTAAGATTTGGTCACTTGAGATATTTAGGAATAATTTAAGAGGAATAAATCAAATTGAAATAACACATCTATTCGTGTATAATTAAATATCCAATTGAACAAGAGGATTATTATAAGATTTGAAAAATGAAAGTTTTCTGCATCATATCATGCTCATCATCATTGTATATGAAGCAGTGCTCTATCTTTGGTTCGATTAGAGTATGGGTCCCTTCACTCAATTTTTAATAATAACCACTATGCCAGGAGATATCATACTGAATCTAACTTTTCATCTTTGTACATGTTCAAGATTTTATTGTTATTCATAATTCTTTTTTTTTTTTAATCAAGGACAAATCAAAAACACTGAGTATCCACAGATTGAACATTTCGATCAGAATAAAAGATCACTACCCTGTTTGGATGAGGTAAGATTTCTTCTGTGTGTATTACCAGCGGCAATTAAATTTAACAAAATTGTACTCAATTTTCCCGTCGATAAAATCATAGCTTTTTTTGATGTCTGGCATCATTCATGTCATAAAAATGCATCTAAAACATGCATCATAAATACACTAACTAACACCAAATTTCACTCTAGATTATCAATGTTCATTGTAGACCAAGCAATCCTGTAAATGGCGGTTGACACAATTTTCAGGTCAAACAAATTTAGTATTCAAACTTGGCCCAGTTCCAGCAGGGGGGTATGTGGCATAAGCATGTAATGCAGGCCTGCACAACTCAAATTACAACGGAGCCGCAGGCATAAATCTGAAGGCCCGGCGGGCCGCAAACTTTGCTACATACATATTTCACAAGATGAACTACAAATCAAAATAATATTGTGAAACAGTTAAATTTAATGAAACACTTTCATTACTGGGGAACTTGAAAATATGAAGAATCTTATTTTCTTGAGTAAAAACTAGGTACAGTATTTTTGCATATGAGATGGCAAATATATATTTAGTGATTCATCTACCTTGAAAATCCACCCTTCATTTTCAATATTTCTTTTTTATTATAATTAAATATTGCGTGTTGCAGTATAAACTGAGTGCAGGAAATATTTACTCAGGTTCAGTTTTGTAAAATCGTCCCAAATATAATTTATGTATGACAATTTATTTAGTCATATCTACCATAATTGGATATTTCCACTCTAGGCTAGACAAACAATTTTTCTAAAAAATCTGCTCCAATTTATTTGAAATTTAACAATAATTAGCAATATCTTTTGTGCGAGAATTTCTGCATCATTCATAAATGGAGGAATTGTTTTTTAAGTTCTAAATTTGAATCAAGAAAGAAACTTCAGTTTCATAAACTGCTGGAAAAAAATAACGGGGATATTTATATGTTGCTAATATGCACTAATGGGTGTGGGATTGTATACCGATATTGTTTTAAGCATGATTCAGTCTGAATACTGAGATATCTAAATCAGGGTTTTGCAAACTGGGGGGGAGGGGGAAAGGTGGAGCGATGAATTTTAAGGGTTGTGAAGGGCACACCATTTTCACACAAAGTTCGATGTTTATTGAAACTAGTGTAAAACATAAATCTCACAATTTCGAATATGATCGGAGTAGCGACACGTTTGCATAACAATGCCATTTTTGATTGTTAGACCCGAGAAGTGGCGTGTTTCCAAATCACCCGCGGGCCGCACACAAAAGTATATAGCGGGCCGCATGCGGCCCGCGGGCCGTATGTTGTGCAGGCCTGATGTAATGCATCACTTATCATGTTTAACAAATTATATTTTTCTGTAGGCACCAGAACAAAAGCAACAAAATGTTCCCACTCAATCTGAGCCAAAGAACAAAACAGTAATGAAATGTACCAAACAAGACTCTGTAAAAATTAACAAGTCTGGGACACGTGTTTCAACACAGTCAAAAGATGACAAAAGTGCGACTGGTAATAAATTTTAAATAAATATTGAAACAATTTTTTTCTATATTATAGTAAAATAAAAAGAATATACTAATTTATAATAAAATTGAATTTTTAAATATTTTAGAGTAAAAATTATTACCTGTCCCCGTAAATCATTCTTTATACGGAATCAGTTACACATTACATTGTGTTACAAAAATACCTCTTTCTGTTCTAACCTAGATATCCTGTTATCTTTTGAACATTGACAAAATCAACTTAATCCTTTTTAAATTTTGGTTTTGTGAAAGATTGGAGGATTTTCCCCAAAATCAGGTTTATGAGATGTAAAAAAAGCATAGAAGTTCCATTATAACATAGACCCAAGCTATTTTTTTGAGTTTTTGATATTTCAGAGATGTGTTCCTTGTATTTTATGTAGAAAAACTTTAAGAAATTAATTCAAACCCATTTTAAATACCTTTTTAGCAACTACCGATAGTCAACCTTAATATTGACCAAAAAGGGATTCCTATTTCATTTATCAACTATAGTCCAGGTCGATAGGGATTCGTATGTAGTCAACCATCTTTCAATCATTATACTGCGGACGATTACAATCCAATTATGCCGTAATAGTGCGGCAATAAAGCAAATTTCAACTATAATATTGATGTCAATATTTAACTGGGACCAGTTGTGGCATCCCATCTAATTATACCTGTACCGCCGAAAAATACAGCTTTTATTCCTCTGCACTTGGAATCAGTGAAATTCAACAGATCCATCAGAATTACCAAGCAATGAAAACATCATCAAAACGGCCTTTTCTTTCAGATGGATTGAACATTGCTTCTGCCACATTCTGAATCTCCTTTATTAATGCTGTTTCGGGTCCTGGGTATCTCGAGTGACTAGCGTTATTTATTAGGAGCTCTAGCCGGAAACTGTTTTTCGTGTTTTTCTATAGTGAAAACAAATATTCATCTCTTCCCAGCTCAGTACATCTTTAGGTTAAAATAACAAATATCTTTAGTTTGTTTCTTAGCAAGACCAATTCATATCAAGCTAGTGGCAATTTTAAATGTTTATGGCTGAGCAAATGAAGTGTTAGATTCAAATTGTTTGCTGTAAGTATAGCTGTGTATTATTCTTTTGAAAATTCAACATTATCGATAACAACTTCAAAACTTTCAAGATATATCTGCATTATGAAGTCACCAAGCAGAATAAAAAATAAAATTAGAATGAACAAATAAAACCCAGAGCATCCCTAACATGGATTGTCAACTTGATTTGACCAATATGCTAACCAACCATAAAGCCATGAATAATAATTGTTTGATTTTATACAGGTGACGTCAACAATGCTGTTACATCACATAATGTTGCTCTTGATAATTCATCATTGAATGCAACCGGAGGTTCTACATTCATGCCAAGTATGATTAAGATTAGAATGACTTTTTGTTCACTTGGAATATTGAAAAATAATTTTCAAACAGAAAGAATCAAACAGAAGCACATAACCTTATGTTTATTCAAATATCCGTTGAACAAGAAGATTAATAATAAGCTTTGAAAAATGAAACTTCCTGCATCAACATCATGTTCAAATCATTGTATTTTAAGCTCTGCTCTATATTGGCATGATTAGAGTATGGGTCTCTTCACTCAATTTGTGACAATAACCACTATGCCACGAGATATCATACTGAATCTAACTTTTCATCTTTGTACATATTCAAGATTTTATTGTTATTTACAATACATTATATTTTTAATCAAGGACAAATCAAAAACACTGAGTATCCACAGATTGACTATTGTGAACAGAATAAAATTGCACTACCCTGTTTGGATGAGGTAAAATTTTTTTTAGGTGTATTCTTGTCTATTTAGATATATTAAAGTTAAGAATTGCTACCAGGCATAAATGACATAATGGTATAAACATGGTTTGGTATAAACATCATAGAAAATTTCAAATTTATCTCTGAAATTGGCAAGCAATAATTTGTGTCACTGCTGGTGCTGCTTCGATAAGTGAAAATTTAAATTGTCCGTCCAGATTAGATTGCTTTTAATTATTAACTCCTTAAAGTTGAATAAACTTTCGAAAAACGCTTCCCCAGTGGCAATTAAATTTAACAAAACGGTACTTAATTTTCCAGTCAATAAAGTCATAGCCTTTTTTGATTTCTGACATCATTCATGTTATGAAAATGCATCTAAATGCACTTACTGACACCAAATTTTACACTAGATTATCAATGTTCATTGTAGACCAAGCAATCCTGTGAACGTCGATTGACACAATTTCCAGGTCAAACAAATTTAGTAGTAAAACTTGGCCAAGTTCCAGCAGGGCCATAGTCAACTGTCGCGTCACTGCTATCATTTTCCACAGCTTCATTGCCGTCAACTTCATCACTGTCATTATCAAAATTGCTATCTGATTCTGATGAACTATCACTAGTTTTATACAATAAGCATTTTATTTCATCTCTTGTCAAACCACGCCTTCGACTTGTCATTTTCAATTTAGAGTTGCACGCTGCACCGCCCATCTTCATTTCAGCTGTAACAACAGCCGCAATGACGTATTCATTGATTTGTTAGCCTACGACGTGCGTATTCATGAGTAACGGCAAACCAGTGGCTTGTAATTGTGTAATGCAAAAAAACTTGGGGTTAACTTATTAGGTGTCAAACGTGCTCAACGAGTATACCCGGGAATAATGGTAATGGGGTTAAAGAAAAAAACTAGGAAGTGTGCAGTAGTATTATTAAACTTAATTTCATATATATGTGCTGTTTAAATATTATGAAACTGAGTGAATAGGATTCAATTCCTAATTTATTTGCAAACAATGAAGCCAACCAGCATTTCTAGCACAATCTGCTGCAGAAATAAGTAACCGAGGAGAATTTGAGATAATAATGTTGTCTTAGTTTCATGTATACCTAATTTTATCTTAGTTCAATTATGCAATATTCTGGCTAGTTTTAATTTATTGTTTATTTTATCAAAAAAGAAATACATGATTCATCAGTCCAGGTAATCCCCTTCACACAATCGTCACCAACTTGTCAGCCCATTGAGGGGGATAAGTGGCATAAGCATGTAATGCATCACTTACCATGTTTGACAAATTATATTTTTCTATAGGCACCAAAAAAAAAGCAAAAAAATGTCCCCCCTCAATCTGAGCCAAAGAACAAAACAGTAATAAAGTGTACCAAACAAGACTCCGTAAACATTAACAAGTCTGGGACACGTGTTTCAACACAGTCGAAAGATGACAAAAGTGCGACTGGTAATAAATTTTAAATAAATATTGAAACAATTTTTTTCTATATTATAGTAAAATAAAAAGATCATATTAATTGATAATGAAATTGAATTTTTTATTATTTTAGAGTAAAAATTATTACCGTACCTGTCCTCGTTAATCATTCTTTATACACAATCAGTTACACATTAAATTGTGTTACAAAAAATACTTTTTTCTGTTCTAACCCAGATTTCCTGTTATCTTTTGTATATTGACAAAATCAACTTAATTCTTTTTGAATTTTGGTTTTGTGAAAGATGGGAGGATTTCCCCGAAATCAGGTTTATGAGATATAAAAAAAAGCATAAAAGTTTCATTATAACATAGACACGAGCTATTTATTTGAGTATTTGATATTTCAGAGATGGGTTCCTTGTATTTTATGTAGAAAAACTTGAAGAAATTAATTCAAACCCATCTCAAATACCTTTTAATCAACTACCGATGATCAACCTTAATATTGATCGAAAAAGGGATTCATTTTTCAATTACCAACTATAGTACAGGTCGATTTCACGGATAGGTTTGTATGTAGTCAACCATCTTTCAATCATTGTACTTCAGACGTTTATATTCCAATTATGTCGCGATAGTGCGACAAAAAGGCAAATTTTAAGTATAATATTGACGTCAATATTTAACCAGGATCAGTTGTGGCATCCCATCTAATTATACCTGCACCGCCGAAAAATACAGCTTGTATTCCTCTGCACCTGGAAGCAGTGAAATTCACCAGATCCATCAGAATTACCAAGCAATGAGAACGTCATCAAAACGGACGTTTTTTTTTCAGGAGGATTGAACATTGCTTCTTCTACATTCTAAATATATTTTTTTATTGCTGTTTAAGGTCCTGGGTATCTCGAGTGACTAGCGTTATTTATTAGGAGCTCTAGCCGGAAACTGTTTTTCATGTTTTTCTGTAGTGAAAACAAATATTCATCTCTTTGCAGCTCAGTACATCGTTAAGTTAAAATAACAAATATCCTCAGTTTGTTTCTTAGCAACCCAATTCATATCAAGCTACTGGCCAGTTCAAGTAACCAAAAATTGGCGATTTTTATGCTAAATTTTTTGATGGGTCTATAAAGTGACACTGCATAAAATTTCCTGAACCCGTTAACTCCTGCATTTATTCATGCAAAAATTGGTTTGCACACATTCACAAAAATTTGACATTTTTTTTTTAATTTTTGTGCAAAGCATTAATATATTGGCCTTGTACAATGAACAAATACCTATTTTGCTTTTTTTGTTAAACTGAAACTATTTAGAACTGTTCTTTAAATCTAGGCCCCAATCAAATAACCCAGTAGTCATTACCTAATTGATGAGTGTTTATTCAGGAAATAACCTATAGTAATCAAGAAACATTCATCAAATTACAAAAATACTGTGATAACATAATTCACACTTACTTTTTAATGGCAGCTGCTTGAATATTTGAAATCAATTCATGATTCTAAGATGCTGACCAGTTAGCGTATCTTTTGAAAAGACTATTTAAAGTATGAAGCAATTTTTTTTTAACGATATTATCTTATTACCACATATAGATCAAGATAAATCACTGCACAGAAAAACTTCTGAAAGTTTGAAAACTACCAAAAAGTCAACAAGCCTTTCTGATTTGGTTGATCAAAGTTCTCATGTACATAAAGAGCATGCTCCAACATTTACATATGAACTCAACGCGAAAAAATCATTATCAATGCCGAATAATTTTGGTTTTTCAACTAGGAAAGGTATAAAATATAAAAACTACTTTTGCTTTTCTTATTTGTTTATGTCCCCATATTTTAACTGTCTGTTACAAACCACTTCACTATTCATACTCATCTATTCCAAATAGTCATTCCAGTACGCAAATATGATTAAAGGCAGTGTTAGGTAGTAATTAAGACATTTTTTCAGACTTATTTTCCCTGGAATAAATATCAAAATTATCAATCTTGAATTTTTTTCTATCTTAGATATTGCTGTATATTTCGAGAGTATGGAATGTAAAAAAACTCATTTAAATCTGATAATTATTTATATTTGTCAATCAGCCATAAAATTTGACTCATTGATTCTCTGAATTAATTGTATCCAAAAGGTATCGCAAATGAGTGTTAGATTCGAAATTGTTTGCTGTAAGTATAGCTGTATAATATTCTTTTGAAAATTCAACATTATCGATAACAACTTCAAAACTTTCAAGATATATCTGCATTATGAAGTCACCAAACAGAATAAAAAATAAAATTAGAATGAACAAATAAAACCCAGAGCATCCCTAACATGGATTGTCAACTTGATTTGACCAATATGCTAACCAACCATAAAGCCATGAATAATATTTGTTTGATTTTATACAGGTGACGTCAACAATGCTGTTACATCACATAATGTTGCTCTTGATAATTCATCATTGAATGCAACCGGAGGTTCTACATTCATGCCAAGTATGATTAAGATTAGAATTGATTTTTTGTTCACTTGGAATATTGAAAAATAATTTTCAAACAGAAAAGAATCAAACAGAAGCACATAACCTTATGTTTATTCAAATATCCAATTGAACAAGAAGATTAATATAAGCTTTGAAAAATGAAACTTTCCTGCATCACATCATGTTCAAATCATTGTGTTTTAAGCTCTGCTCTATCTTTGGCATGATTAGAGTATGGGTCTCTTCACTCAATTTGTGACAATAACCACTATGCCACGAGATATCATACTGAATCTAACTTTTCATCTTTGTACATATTCGGGATTTTATTGTTATTTACAATACATTATATTTTTATTAAAGGACAACTCAAAAACACTGAGTATCCACAGATTGACTATTGTGAACAGAATAAAATTGCACTACCCTGTTTGGATGAGGTAAAATTTCTTTTAGGTGTATTCTTGTCTATTTAGATATATTAACGTTAAAAATTGCTACCAGGCATAAATGACATAATGGTCTAAAACATGGTTTGGTATAAACGTCATAGAAAATTTCAAATTTATCTCTGAAATTGGCAAGCAATAATTTGTGTCACTGCTGGTGCTGCTTCGATGAGTGAAAATTTAAATTGTCTGTCCAGATTAGATTGATTTATATTATTAACTCCTTAAAGTTGAATAAACTTTCGAAAAACGCTTCCCCAGTGGCAATTAAATTTAACAAAACGGTACTTAATTTTCCAGTCAATAAAGTCATAGCCTTTTTTGATTTCTGACATCATTCATGTCCTAAAAATGCATTTAAATGCACTAACTGACACCAAATTTTACACGAGATTATCAATGTTCATTGTAGACCAAGCAATCCTGTGAACGCTGATTGACACAATTTTCATAAGCATGTGATGCATCACTTACCATGTTTAACAAATTATATTTTTCTAAAGGCACAAAAAAAAAAGCAAAAAAATGTCCCCACTCAATCTGAGCCAAAGAACAAAACAGTAATAAAGTGTACCAAACAAGACTCCGTAAACATTAACAAGTCTGGGACACGTGTTTCAACACAGTCGAAAGATGACAAAAGTGCGACTGGTAATAAATTTTAAATAAATATTGAAACAATTTTTTTCTATCTAATAGTAAAATGAAAAGATCATACTAATTGATAGTGAAATTGAATTTTTTATTATTTTAGAGTAAAAATTATTACCGTACCTGTCCTCGTTAATCATTCTTTATACGCAATCAGTTACACATTAAATTGTGTTACAAAAAATACTTTTTTCTGTTCTAACCTAGATTTCCTGTTATCTTTTGTATATTGACAAAATCAACTTAGTTCTTTTTGAATTCTGGTTTTGTGGAAGATGGGAGGATTTCCCCAAAATCAGGTTTATGAGATATAAAAAAAAGCATAAAAGTTTCATTATAACGTAGACCCGAGCTATTTATTTGAGTTTTTGCTATTTCAGAGATGGGTTCCTTGTATTTTATGTAGAAAAACTTGAAGAAATTAATTCAAACCCATCTCAAATACCTTTTTAGCAACTACCGATAATCAACCTTAATATTGATCGAAAAAGGGATTCATTTTTCAATTATTAACTATAGTCCAGGTCGAGTTCACGCATAGGTTTGTATGTAGTCAACCATCTTTCAATCATTGTATTTCAGACGTTTATAATCCAATTATGCCGCGATAGTGCGACAAAAAGGCAAATTTTAAGTATAATATTGACGTCAATATTTAACCAGGATCAGTAGTGGCATCCCATCTAATTATACCTGCACCGCCGAAAAATACAGCTTTTATTCTTCTGCACCTGGAAGCAGTGAAATTCACCAGATCCATCAGAATTACCAAGCAATGAAAACGAATCAAAACGGACGTTTTTTTTCAGGAAGATTGAACATTGCTTCTTCTACATTCTAAATATATTTTTTTATTGCTGTTTAGGGTCCTGGGTATCTCGAGTGACTAGCGTTATTTATTAGGAGCTCTAGCCGGAAACTGTTTTTCATGTTTTTCTGTAGTGAAAACAAATATTCATCTCTTTGCAGCTCAGTACATCTTTAGGTTAAAATAACAAATATCCTTAGTTTGTTTCTTAGCAAGACCAATTCATATCAAGCTACTGGCCAGTTCAAGTAACCAAAAATTGGCGATTTTTATGCTAAATTTTTTGATGGGTCTATAAAGTGACACTGCATAAAATTTCCTGAACCCGTTACCTCCTGCATTTATTCATGCAAAAAGTGGTTTGCACACATTCACAAAAATTTGACATTTTTTTTAATTTTTGTGCAAAGCATTAATATATTGACTTTGAACAATGAACAAATTCCTATTTTGCTTTTTTTGTTAAACTGAAACTATTTAGTACTGTTCTTTAAATCTAGGCCCTAATTAAATAACCCAGTAGTCATTACCTAATTGATGAGTGTTTATTCACGAAATAATTTATAGTAATCAAAACACTCTCATCAAATTACAAAAATACTGTGATAACATAATTCACACTTACTTTTTAACGGCAGCTGCTTGAATATTTGAAATCAATTCATGATTCTAAAATGCTGACCAGTTAGCGTAACTTTTGAAAAGATTATTTAAAGTATGAAGCAAATATTTTTTAACGATATTATCTTATTACCACATATAGCTCAAGATAAATCACTGCACAGAAAAACTTCTGAAAGTTTGAAAACTACCAAAAAGTCAACAAGGTTTTCCGATTTGGTTGATCAAAGTTCTCAAGTACATAAAGAGTATGCTCCAAAATTTCCATATGAACTCCACGCGGAAAAATCATTATCAATGCCGAATATTTTTTGTTCTTCAACTAGGAAAGGTATAAAATATAAAAACTCCTTTTGCTTTTCTTATTTGTTTATGTCCCCATATTTTAACTGTCTGTTACAAACCACTTAACTATTCATACTCATCTATTCCAAATAGCCATTCCAGTACGCAATTTTGACAAGTATATGATTAGAGGCAGTGTTAGCTAGTAATTAAGACATTTTATCAGACTAATTTTCCCTAGAATAAATATCAAAACCTCCAATCTTGAATTTTTTTCTATCTTAGATATTGCTGTATATTTCGAGAGTATGGGATGTAAAAAAACTCATTTAAATCTCAATCAGCCATAAAATTTGACTCATTTTGTATTTTATTCTCTGAATTCAATTGTATCCAAAAAGTATCGCAAATGAGTGTTAGATTCAAATTGTTTACTGTAAGTATAGCTGTATACAGTGGCGTAGCAAGACTCTCGTGGGCACCCCCGCAAAAATATTACGTGGAAATGACCCTAAATTCGGACATAAGCTAAAACAAAGTTTTTTTTTTTATTTTGTCAAAAAGCATAACATGTCGCTATAAAAAAGGCTATGATAACCTAAAATTTGCGATTTCGTGCTTTCGCGTTAGCAAACTCATCCACCATCTTCGTCATATCAATTTTTTCAATTTGCTTCAAAAATCAGTAGCTTGCCTGTGATAATTGTCGTGTAAGTTTTGGAAGAAAATTCATTCGCGCCGGCGCAATCACTTTTGGAGATTAAACACGCATCTGGTTTTCTACCGATACCACCGGTGCTAGGCTTAATTCCTCCTCAGTTACGTTTGGTATTCCCAAGTCTAATTGTTTCAATTTTGGTTTAAATATTTTGTTCATCTTGGTTACTTTAATTTTTTTCATACGTTCTATCTCTTCTGCGCTTTATTCCTCGTTTTTGTGCGCCACTAAGAGGTTTTGCTTTCGACATCAATCTGACAGCCTTCGTGATTGTGCCGGTGGCCCGTGCGATTAAACGACACGACGCCGAAAATCGGCGACTCCGGCATTGTTACGTAACAAAACGATTTGAGCAAAACTAACATCGACAATATAAGATGTGCATTACTGCTTTTGCAATGCAGCTTTTGGTTTTGCGGCTTAAATTTCTAAATTTTAACGCTTGGGGCCCATTTTGGCTGTGGGCCCCCCGCGACCGCGGGGGTTGCGGGGGTGGATGCTACGCCACTTGCAAATTTAACATTATCGATAACAACTTCAAAACTTTCAAGATAAAGTCACCAAGCAGAATAAAAAATAAAATTAGAATAAACTAAGTTGGAAAATTTTGTTGTTGGAAAGGGTGGAAATAAGAGGAATTATTGTTTACAGCAGTGGTTCTCAAACTTTTTAGCCCCCTCCTCCCCTTTTTAGAATTTGTCTAATCTTGCGTCCCCCTTCAAAATAAATAGATTACAATGAGCTACGAATAAAAGATACTAAGGCAAATGTATGTTTTCTCAAAAAAAAATGTTGAAAATATGTGTGCATAGCAAAGAAATATAGGCACTGAAGAAATGTAAACATCCAAAATAATGCAAGCCATATCAAATCTAACAAATATATTCATTTTTAATTAGCTTCACGCCCCTCAAAAAATAGCCTACACCCCACAATGTAGCTGGCTATGTTTGTTTTTTGTTGTATACTAGCTGTTAACAACATACGTTAGTGAATCTGTAACAGGACTTTTTGCAACTTTTTGACCTCAACAGCTTGAATTTTGAGAAAAATTTGGAAAAGGGGAATTTATTCATAAGTAAAGTAGATCTGATCTTTGGACAAATCATAGGCAACCACTGTAGTGTCTATTGTTACTGAGTCTTTATAAGTTATTGGCGTGAATCAAATGTCAGTTAGTGCAGGTTGAAAATGCAGTTTACTAGTCATCAGATGCCAATTCTTGATTAAATGTAAGTCCCTCCTACCAGACACTAGAGAATTGTGATTCTTTATTATATTTTTAATCACAATGGCATTACACCCAATTCTTGAGACACTCCACTAGGTTTTCAGGCAATAGTTAAATTTTAGATTGAATTTTCAAGATTATATGCCTATACACATAACCAAAAGTAGTAACTCCAATTGCAAAGCATTTGTGTATATTTAATTTGGTATTTTGATTAGTTAACTGTGATATTTAAAATGCAAAAATGTATAAATTCAATAGTTGTACAAACATACAAAATAAAACTATTTATCAGACAAAGAGAGTATAATTTATGCTACGGAGTTGGAAGAATTTGATGAATTCATTTTTATTGATGATCACTAACTCCAACTTTGAACTTTTGATGAGAATTCCGTAAATACAAACAAATTTATATAAAATAAAATTTCAGGCAAAGGGAGTTCAAGATATGCTACAGAGTTTGAAGAATCTGAAGATTTATATAATATCACTGAAAATCAACTATTCCTAATTTCAAGTTTTGATAAGAATTTCTTAAATCCTTATTCACAAGGTAAGATGAACAAATTCTATCATGTTTTTTTCCATTAAAAATATTTCCACTTGTAAGTATATATTACTTTGACTCAAATTTGTCACACATTATCTGTGTGTCCCACTAGGGATGGGCAATATAGAATACCGAATCCGGAGGATTCGAATACTTTGGGATCCAATAACAGGATTCGGTTTCCGCCTCTCCGGCGCCAAGCAATTTTTGTATTTTGGGTTTCTAATTTATCAAATAAAGATGAGCGTTTTTTCTCGCGTGGAAATCTCTGTCGTTTAATATAACTTGAGTCTGCTCGTAAAATCAAATCGGTAAACAACAAACACTGTAATCTCAATCGGCATATTCAAGACAAGAAGTACACCTCACGGCGAAGACTCGTTATTGCACCATTTTTGCGTTTTACTGATTTGCTATATAGCTAACGTATAATAATAATAATTATTTGTGCCGACTTACTAGCGATATTCCGATAATCTGATTGCAACAATCTTTAATTGTTTACGGACCTGCCTTGTTTCATTTTACAATAAATGATTTTTTTGCGACCTGCGAGGTTTCCCCAAAAATGATACATGTAAACCAAAAGCCAGGCGTTAAACGTTATAACATTGTTTGCGATTAATTTAGATCAAATATTATTTACAAATAATTTTATTACACCATGTTCAGAAATACAAAGTTATATCGCAATTAAATTTCACTCTCAAAACATTACATTTTTTTCGGTCCGTTTCTATCGTTCAAGATAGACGCGTTAGATCGAGTGTCTGTAGTATTTTAGTCGCCCATAAATTTTAAAAAAGTTGCCGCATCTGGCGAAGACAGTGACCTATTGAGTTTAATTAGGGCCAAGTCTGTGTAGATCAGGGGTCACCAACCTTTTCGAAGCCGAGGGCTACTTTTAGGGTACAGATTAAAAAATCAGTTGCTCGATTAAGCTTCAATTATTGGTATAATTGCTGGTATTTACTGAAGTATAGACACTAATAAACTTTAGGATTCTTCAGGAAATCAAACGATTATCACAATGTTGCAAATAAATTTCTATCAATAACACTTGTATTTCAAAACTGAGTGTTTTTAAATTGATTTTCAACACTCTGCACAAGTCTGAGATAAAATGGACTTAACAGTTGTACTATGAAATGTTGCATAGTATTATACTCCGACGTGTAACTTGACACTGTAACTCTGAGCGAGTCTTGCAGATTTTCATCAGTGAGGCGTGTACCGTGTTTGTTCCTGGTGGAGTGAGTCGCGGCGCTATGGCCCATCGTGTTAAGCGTTAGGTTCGCAGGTTAGAATCTAGGGTTGCCAACCGTCCTTTATTTCAAAGGACAATCCTTTATTTGAGATTTTTGTCCTTGTCCTTTTCAAGATGATAATTGTCCTTTATTTTTTCCAACGTCGTTTTGCCCGGTAGTTATAGTACTGTGTTTGATATTGTTCCGTTCTTAAATCGCCTCCGTTTATGTATTTGCAAGCTTTTAATTATTCTTTTTAATTTCGCTTCGGCACGGCTCAAATAGCCAAAGAAATACCAATTTTATTAACAATTTCAAATATTTTACATTAATTTTCCGAAGATGACAAGTGGCAACACTCCAAGATTTAAGTGAATTCAAGTTCAATACCTAGAATATAACTAGAATTTTAACTAGAATATAATTGGTCTCTAAGATTTTAAACTATTTCTCAACTCTGCGATAACGTATTTGGAAAAAAGATTCGACTTTGATGAAAATTCAACATTTGGAAAATAATCTCTTTTGGATAATCTTTCTCCAAAATATCAGACACTTGTAAAAATTGTAGAGCATTCGAAGCTAAAAGACAAACATACATGAAAAATACATGAAGATTTTTTAATATATCTTTTTAGCTTGTATATAATTTGTAGTTCATTGTTTTATATTGTTCTTTTCTGCAAGTTACAAAATAAATGATGACGGTAATCTATGTCCTTTATTGAGACTTTTCATAGTTGGCAACCCTATTAGCATCCCATGCGGGGATAGTTATGCGCGAAAGGATTGCTGGACTCCTCGCGCCGTAAGGTGGTTCACGTAACCGCTGGTCGGTTAAGGCTTCCTCCGTCATCAAGTCCAGGCTTTCGGAAACAAATAACTAACTAATCCCATACCCGACATCGAATGGTAACCGGCGAGAAGACGTGGTTTGTCATATGGTTAAGCCGTCCTATCGGCTATTTTCTCCCCCGGGATAAATATGTAAATTTCCTCCTATCCTGAGTTTGTCAAAAATGTTGATTCTGAAGGATAGGTTGAAACAAACGATGGTCTCATAAAATAGGATTGCTGTATGATTTGAATCGCGAGCTTTTTCTGTACGTACTGTGCTGACCAGTGGGTAGTTAGCGCGGAAGATTACGTGACAAGATGTGAAATATCTCTCCGCTTTGCCGTCGCTAAAATCGCCCCACTAATGAGACACACGCAGGCTGTTTTTATGGTGGTATAAATATATCCACCTATCATTCATCGTGAAAATGATGGATTTTTTTTTGGAATCAATAATTGTATTATTACTGCTCCGCTAACCAACGGACAAGAAAAAACGCGGGTTCGTGGAAAGTGATCTCAGTGTGATGTCATAATTGGAAGAATGTTAATTGACCGTCACATTTCTGAGGTCAATAAAATTAGGTGGATTGATTACAATAATAATATAGTGTCATTCTAGTTCCCATATAAGTGTGATTATACTAAAATAGCAGGACAAAATTTAATTGATCTAGCTTACTTATAAGAGCCGTTATTAGCTTAGTTTAGAACAGACCTGCGGGCGACTCATATGGTCTTCGCGGGCGACTTGGTGCCCGCGGGCAACGCGTTGGTGACCCCTGGTGTAGATAATGATATGTAACGACAAATCGATAATCATAGAAAATGAATTCGTCTTTAGATGTTATTACCTAATAACTAAGTACACCATTTTCCGAAATACAAAGTTATATCGCAATGCGCGAAAATCTGTCACATTTGAATTTCATTCTCAAAAGATTACATATTTTTCGGTCCTTTCCTATCGTTCAAGATACACGCACGTTTGATCGAGTGTCTGTAGTATTTTAGTCGCCGATAAATTTAAATAAAGTTGCCGCATCTGGCAAAGATAGTGACGTATTGAGTTTAAGTATGGCCAAGTCTGCGTAGAAAATGATATGTAATGATAATCACAAAAAAGAAATTAGTCTTTAGATGTTATTACCTAATAACTAAGTACGAAATCGTGTTTACCGGAACTTGGTTTTACGAGTCTTGCTCGCACAGAATAAAAAATTCAAATTTAATATTTTACAAGGGCCATTAAAGTTGCAGTGGTCACACGCTTGGTCCTGCATGTAATTAATTCTCAGCGGGTATGTTTTTGTACACTCGGCAGACTAACATTAAAAATGATTTAAGATGATTTCATATCTATTTCTGTATTTAACCGCTTACTATTAAAGTGTGCAAAGCATGTCTTAATTTAGCATTTCAGTATTTAGGGATTACATACATTTGGAACAATTGAAGGCAAAAAATACTGTAATAATCCTAAATTTTATTGTCCTGGGAAATGCCTGCTTAGCATCAAATGAAATTCAATGTTCAGGACATTTCTAAATAAATCAGTGGTTTTCAACTTTTACTGGCCGCGTACCACTTTACTGTTTTTTACTATGGCCGCGTACCACCGACAAAGCTTCTTTTTTTGGCGGTGTGAAAAAGACACCAGAAACATGCTATGTGTGTATTTTATATTGTGGCACTACATCCTTTGTGTCGTACCACGCAAACAAACAAAAACATGCCCATATCGATCCATTTATTAAGGTATAGCGGGCGAGGGCGATCTCTAAAGACAAGGACGTTTCCCCGACCATTGACCACGAAAAAATTACTCTTATACTCCACTATTGCAACTAGGCTTGCACGTAATTGACAAAAATCAATTCCGTAATTACGGCCAAATCGATTACGTAATGACCCCGTAATTGCGATATTTTTTTCACACTTTTAAAACTATCTTAACAACCAATTTAATCCACTTCTATTCCGAATGGGACATCGACAGTTGGGACAGTTTGGTTTTCATATTTCCGCCAGTACTACACGCCGGCGACAGATGCTAAAGACAAATATCAAGGAGTGAATTCAAATTAATTTTATTCTGATTTTTATCTTTTGTGTTAGCTTTGATTTTCCTTTATCAACTTTATCACCCAATTTTATGCGATGAATTTTATCATTACCAACACTGGTAAGGGGTAATATATTTATGAAAAGATAGTTGACTTTTTTAAAATCGTATTAACGTATTAATACGAGTTTCGTATTAAATAAAAATTCCGGGTTTCTAATTTATAAATCAACGGCGAGCGTATTCTCTCGTTTGATTATACTTGCGCTTGCCTCGCGACGAAGACTTGTTATTGTACCGTTTTTTTACATTATCCGACTTTACTACCTAGTTAGCATTTTATAATAATTATTGATGCCGACTTATTGACGATATTCCGATTACCATGCTTCATTTTACATTAAATCATTTCGCGGCCTAAATGTTTATAACATTATTTGCGATAAATTTAGATCAAATATTAATTATTTGCGCATAATTTAAATACCGTACTTATATGACATGCCTTCTCCGAAAATACAAAGTTATATGCAAAACAATGCATTTTGTGACATTTATTTTGCACTCACGAAAATATTAATTTACCTTTCTAACTAAAGTCGACAATCCTATCGGCTAAGATTGACACAAGTTTGGTCGAGTGCCGGTGGTATTTGAGTCGACGATAAATCAAAATAAGTTGCCGCATTTGGAAAAAGACTTAAAGATTTTGTAAAGACATATTTGGCAGAAATAGTGCGAGGCATTGTGAAAACAAGGCCAAGTCCGGACAGATATATAACGATAAAACCGGTAACAGAACATCAAGATTTTGTAATAGAAAATGGATCTCGCGCAGAATAAACATGGAAATCCCGTCTTTTGTTGTTTCTCTGCCGTCTGAATCGCTTTACCGGTGCCGAAAAGACTAAGTTGCGTTGGTTCATTACGCAATTTCTCTTCCGTCGTCATATTGCTGTTTGATAAGCGTGACATTAATTATCACGGCATTTACAAATAGACCATGTTTGGTATGTTGATCTCTTACATTCTTTAGTCATTTCACCCGAAGAAGTTGAAACCAGGTGTGTTCGCGTCCATCGGTCTCAACACAATTCTATCCCATATCTACGCTTAATATGTACATTTGCCATGCTAGATAAGTTGATAATAGGTTAGTAAATGGCAACGCGTTATGCCTTCTCCATCTGAGTAACAAGAGAGAGAAAAACGGCTGCGAATACCGGAACTCTAACTTCTTCTACTTATTAAACTTTAATTTTTTACAATCGACGGAATTGACTGCTCTGAAGAGAGCTCGTTTCAATCGCGAAAGCGCTCCACCAATAATTACGAATTTACGTAATTCGTAACTTCGCTTCCGTAACTCGAAATAATTCCGTAATTCCGTAAATCCGTAAATTACGTGCAAGCCTAATTGCAACCTTTATGCTTATTCTGAGAGTGTTTTTGTGTGTTAGCGCTTATAGACTGGTTCACGTGTTTGAAACAATAATTTTTATTAAAATTAATCTACCATGTGCCGTTTGCAGGTACGGATATAGCTAAGTTTAGCCTTGTCCCTCGCAGCATTTGCGAGAATCAATTTCGATCACTGCAACTAAAGTAAATCTCCGCGGAAGACATAATGACAATTAAGTTAATTAATTTACTATATTTCTCTTGAAACACAACTGAAAACTGGCAAATATCACTCAAAACTACAAAAACGAGGCAATATTTGCAACCATGCTTGAGCGACAGAAGTGTCTGAGCGGCTGAGTGCAGAAATTGCAATTGTTACGTGTTACGTCATTGTTGACCTATTGCTGATTGGTTATAGTTACGGAAATAAACAAGGAAACTGATGCTTGGGGAGGATAAAGCGTTGCCGGTATGTTTTAACCAACTGAAAGGTTAATTGTTGCAATAATTCAAATCTGCTCGCGTACCACAGGTTGAGAACCACTGAAATAAATAATACATTTATAGTAATACATTTACAATTTTTTAACATCTAAATCCAGTAATGTGGAAATTCCCACTATTTAAATAAGTATGAAAATAGAATAGGATTCGATTTACCTATTCTAGAATAGTAAATTATTCTACATTGCCCATCCCATTGGGACTCCCACTTATCAAATTGTGCCAATTCCACATAAGTGAAATGTCATGGAATGCAATACAGACTTGAGAATTTTGATTAATAATAATTTCTGGCGTTCCAGAAGTATGTGAGCCGGAACGTAGTATAAGTATAAGTATAAGTATAAGTTTATTTCGACTCCATAATCAGCAAAACAATAAAATGAATGCTAAAAATAAATAAATAAAAACTGATTATGAAATCAGGAGAGCGAACAAAACCTTAGATAAGGTTTAAAACGTACAGAATGTATATAAGATGGAAGGTTTTGCCAAGAAGATGTGGTACGTGTTCACTCACCCAAAATAATTGAAATATTTCACACACGCTCACACGCACCCACACACACAACCATATAGAAGTTATTAAGTAAAGGGAACATGAAAAATTACATACTGGTAGTTAATAAAAAATAAATAAATAAAAATTACTTGCCACACCATATTAATAAATTTATCATGATTGCCACTGCCAAATTGATCAATTTTATAAATGGGAGTGAACAGTAAAGATAAACTTTTATAAAAAAATATATTGTCAAGCTGATTATAGATGGAGTCAAATGCCAAAATGCCCAACCAAAGTTGCCAGAATTGGGTGCATGAAGAGGTGGGCTAGACCACTTCATTGCCCAAACTAGAGCCTATTATTGCCAAATTGTAGTCCAGATTGCAATAAGTATTTAAATCTATCAGTAACTTTATAAGTATGAGTAATTATAATTAATTAAGGTAGAAAGACAGGGTATAGGAATATGTTGGTTGCTAAGGTTATAAGGTTTTTTTTTTCATTCTTAGATATTGACTTCTGCAAGGATAAAGGAATTAGGAATAAAGGAATTAGTATTGTTATTTCACAGGATCATTTCTTCATTTAATTATTATGGCGTAATAGGTTCAAGTTTATCGTGGATGAGACATCAGCCTGCGAATTTTGTTGTTGTAGACACCATTTATATTCAATAAACTAGCCATTGTATTGATCATCACAGAACGACCTGAAAAACAGAAAACAAATCTGCGAGTGGGATATTCAAGGGTTACATATTTGGAAACAGCACTACCCTACACTTTTGTTTAGAATTAATTATTATTTCGAGTAGATATTGATTATTAGTTATCTATCTATAAAACGCTAGTTCAAAGACCAGAGTTGAAATATGGTTGGGACACAGGGTGAATTCCTCGCAAACCATGCAGAAACTCTCAAACCACACTGACCATTCGTATGTTGGCCTTCACATCAACTTCACAGCAGAACCTCAACCTAGGATAAAATTTTGTATACACACAAAACAAATCATAGAATACCACAACAAATTGAAATGAAGGGGAGAATCCAATATATCTCCACTGGTCGCCTAATTACAATAATAGGTACAGGAGCTAAACTATACGGTCTACAACCCTCATAAGGTATCACACCACCCATATAGAAACAAAGATCATGCATGTGTAATGTCAAAAATCCAACGTTAAGCAAAAAGGGAACATGCGCATGCAGATGTCAGAGTGTAAACAGCCATTTGAAAAAAAAATAAATAAAATAATTTGCTGTGCATGCTACAGAACCCGACACACCAACAATAGATGTAGAACAGGTGGAGAGAGATTAACTGCCGGCTCAACAACAATCAGCAGCTGCAGGAGCAATAGCAATATTGTAGCTGTTTAATATTTTCATGAAAATAAGTATGTGCAAGTGAAGAGTGTCCCAACTTTCTATCATGGTCATTCATGAAGGTTCAATATTTTTTGTGTCCGAGCTATCAAAACGTTGTAGCTAATTTCATACGAAAGAGTATATATATCAGTGTGGTTATGGGAAAATAACTTTTAATATTTGGATACCAAGTACGACTTAACTTGTTTCTGAAATGATTTTTTGGATTTTAATGACTTCAAATTCAAGGGGAGAGAGTTCCATAGCTTAGGTCCATTATAGCATAGGGCATGCTGGCTCACAGATTTACTCATAAACGGTATAAATAAATTGGAATTACTTCTTCGATTGGAGGTGGTTTTGGTTAGTATGTCCACAATGAGTTGTCATGAAAATCATAAACTAATGATAATACTTCAAATTTCATTATGTCTTCAACCTTGAGTATATTTAGCGATTTATAGAAATGATTTACGCTTTCACGTTTACTTTTCCTAAAGACAATTCTTAAAAAGTATGGTATACCAGGTTAGGGTTAGGCCATAATTTCAGGAACAAATATTAAGGGAGTCACGTGGCTAGTCGCCGAACTCGTAATAGAACTAAAATGAAGAAAATTGGAATAAAATCATGTCCTAACCATATCCTGGTACACATACCCCGTTCCGACTCACATACTTCTGGAACCCCAGAAATTATTGCAGTTATTATTGTTTTCTTATAGTCTAATCAGTATAGAATTAGACTCGTACATTGCATGTATATTTTCAGTGAAAATATGTATGAAATTCTATCTTTTTCCGACCAACATGAAGCCATTCAGGAAGAGACTTTTACAAAATGGGTAAATTCGCATTTGGAGAGAGTTGCACTCAGAATTCAAGATCTTTACATGGATCTCGGAAAAGGAAAAAATTTGCTGAAATTATTGGAAGTTGTGTCAGGAGAAAAACTGGTGAGCACCATTAAACCGGTTTATGATAGTTCGAAATTATCATATCTGTTTGCCCAAAGAAAATGACTTTGGGATGCCACTGAGGAACCGCTTGAATTTAGAAAATTGTAAAAATCATACCTTCTGCCATCTTCTCATGTAGATTTTATCACATTATCATTAAAAGATTTTATTCGAAAAATTTCAACTCAGATCTTATGTCAATTATTATCTACTGGCATTTTTATCGCCAGAATATGCTTTTATACAGTCAATAGCACAATAGTACGTGCTTGTAACTCTACAGTCGATCAGTTTTACTCTCCACCATATTTAATATCCAACGAAATCTTTGTCCAAAATCTCTATTTGAATTCAATTATTTATGGAATTTGACAGGATCAACAGTGAGATCTTCAATTTTCCTGTTTAAAGTTTCGACCCATATTTTTGAGTTGGGAATACTATCAATTTTAATATTTTACTATGAATAAATTTAGCAGTATCTTCCAACTTTTTGATTTAACAATCTGTATCTCTGATACCTATATTTACAGCCCGAACCAACACGAGGAAGAATGCGAATTAATTGTTTAGAGAACGCAACAAAAGCTTTACAGTTTCTCAAAGATAAACAAGTCAACCTTGGAAATATGGGACCTCATGATATTGTGGATGGAAATCATAGACTTATCCTTGATTTGATTTGGACTATTATTCTTAGATTCCAGGTGAGTGGATAGGAACAAAGATGTAGCCAAAATCGATAATTCGACTTTTGTTCTGAATATGAAATATCTAATGTATCCGGAATTGGATGATGTTTAGCAACGAACATCAAAACACAGAATATCAAATTATTGTTGGTTTAGAGTTAGAATAGGAAAAAAGTTGTAGTGTGTTGGTTTTCTACAGTTATTTGAATTAACAAACCTCCTAAGCAATGTTCCCTCTAATTTTTGTAGTATGTGTGCGCAGAAATTTTGGTGTGTGCGCACTTTTTTGGAAATGACTAATATTTGTGCAAAAACCAATGAAGAAATTTTGGCGTTCTAACCGGGTAATAAGTGGGCTTATTAAGAAAATTTTGGTTATTCAATAAGTTTTTCTATAGATTGTAAATGCTTTCGTGAAGGCTATATGTTATCAGTAGATAACAATGAACATACATGGAAACTAATAAATGAAATTGATTGTAACAGATGGTTTTATTTGAATTCAAATGAAGGGTGAAAAAAGAACAAAAGAACATTGTTACATTGCATCGAAATACGTCTGTGCGCAGTAAATCTATGCGTGTGCGCAGCCTCTGAAAGCTGTGTGCGCGCGCACACGCGCACACCTTGGAGGGAACACTGCTCCTAAGGATTGAAGCATTACACTCATCTGTATTGGCATTGCATCCTACGCAACTTTGGTGCAAAACCCATGACTAATACCTGACTGTAATAAATTTTAAGTAATGCAGAAATGGAAATATTCCGCTCTCTTTAAATCATAATAGCTGTTGAATAGTTGTTGAATATCAGTGGTTGTACAAGGGTTTGTTCAGAGCAAAGTAAAAGTTGATACAGTCCATTCGTAGTTGGACTGCTATATTCAAATGCAAAAGTTGCATTTGCATTTGCAAAATGCAATTTTTGAATGAGATAAATTGTTCTAAATTATTTTTCTAGTAAAAATTTAGTATATTATATGTAAAGACCAAATATTCTCGGTTATAAGCCGATCTCACACGACCCTAGAAAAACAGCCCTAAAACTGTGAATTTATAAAAATTCACATATATAAGCCGAACCTACAAATCGTAATTTGCCGTAGACATCTATCGAAGCAAAAGTTGCAGAAGAGAATTTGAATTTGTATGTGATGAGTGTTAACATGAAAGAGATCATGTGTATGACAAACCAATCTTTATATATATTTTTTATTTCGGGATTTAAATATTTCATGTCAGCTGTTACAATATTCTAGTGTCGCAAAATTCGAATACATTTGATTGGCCCTCCTTGCTGGTAGGTTAGCATAATGCCATTTGGTTTGAGTGCGATCAGAGGTATGCGCATATAGGCTGACCCCTTATTTTGATAACTTACCGTATGTTTTAACTCTGCTTATATGTGAGGATATACAATAGATGACAAATTGAGCTGGAAGGCACATATTGCCGATTTGTCTAAGAAATTATCTCAAACTGTTGGAATATTTTACAGACTCAGGTATATTTTGAACCCTGAAACACTCAAATTGGTCTACTATAGTTTATTTCACTCGCGATTACAGTATGGTATACTTAGCTGGGGGTCGACAAATAAGTCTCTATTGCAGCCAATACAAGTTTTGCAAAATAAAATTTTAAGATGTATGGCATTTTCAGAAAAAACTCACATAACCAATTTTCAGCTGTATCGACAGTTTAATATCTTACAGCTGTGTGAAATGCATACACTTGAAATAGCCAAGTTCATGCATCGGCATGAAAATGGCCTTGTTCCCATTGCTTTCCAACACTATTTCACTAGGCTACAAGATGTACATAAATACACCACTAGGTCCCAAAAAAATAGGTCATATTTTACCCCTCATGTAGCCACGGAGTTTGAAAAAAGATCACTGAAATATAGCGGTGTCCAGGTCTGGGGCATTGTACCACCTGACATCAAAAATTGTTCAGCATATACTTTCAATAAAAATATGAAAAAATTCTTGTTATCCAAGTACCCTGATCCGTATACTTCTGTTTAATATACTGTAATTGCCGTTTTATGCTGCTAAAGTTATTGTGCAATAAATGATGAACTGCATATTAATTGCATATCTAGTTGGGCATACTTAATTGTGGAACACGCATTAATATTCCATTTCTATTTCAAGTATTTATGAATCTTTATGAATGTTGGTGATTGTCAGTGTGTTTCCCAAGCTTCCATCTCGTAAATTAATTTAATTTCCTTTTCATATTGTTAAAAATCACTGTATAAGAAGTGATGAAATGAACATTTAATTGTGGATCATACATTGATACTCCATTTCTAATTCAAGTATTTATAAATCGTTATGAATGTTGGTAGCCACTATACAGTATTCAGTGATTGTCACTGTGTTTTTTCCATGCTTTCATTTCATAAATTAATTTACCTAATAACCTTTTTATATTGTTGAAATTCATTTTGTAACAAATGAACAGCATATATAATTGGGGGCCATACATTAATATTCTAGTTCTATTTCAAGTACCCTTGGTGTGAATGTTGTTAGCCTCTTTGTAAATTAATTTATTAACCTATTTACATGTTAAACTAATTATATAATAAGTGATGAACTGCATTATCAATAGCATATTTAATTGTGAATCATACATTGATACTCCATTTCTAATTCATATTTTTATAAATCTTTATGAATGTTGGTAGCCACCATACAGTATTCAGTGATTGTCACTGTGTTTATCCATGCTTTCATTCCGTAAATTAATTTACCTAATAACCTTTTTATATTGTTAAGATTCATTTTGTAACAAATGAACTGCATATATAATTGTAGGCCATACATTAATATTTTAGTTCTCTTTCAAGTACACTTGGTATGAATATTTGTAAATGTTGTTAGCCTCTTTGTAAATTAATTAATTTATTAACCTATTTACATGTTAAACTAATTATATAATAAGTGATGAACTGCATTATCAATAGCATATTTAATTGTGGATCATACATTGATACTCCATTTCTAATTCATATTTTTAAAAATCTTTATGAATGTTGGTAGCCACCATACAGTATTCAGTGATTGTCACTGTGTTTTTCCATGCTTTCATTTCGTAAATTAATTTACCTAATAACCTTCTTATATTGTTAAACTCATTGTGTAACAAGTGAGCTGTATATTTAATTGTGGATAATACATAAATATTTGAATCCTTATTCAAGTATGTATAAATACTTATGAATGCTGGTAGCAATTAAACAATATTCATCGATTGTTATTATTTTTCCCCTGCTTCTTCATGTGAACTAATTAAGGTGCCAAAAGGAGTCAAATGATACTTTTACGTCATGCACTCCATTACTGAATCTGTGATGATATTATTATTTTCTTGTCCCTATCTTTCAATTTTTGATCTCGGTCTGTGTCCAATAAAAAAAAAAGCTTTTTTTAAATCTTTGACTGTTTTAATTCTTTCATTGGACATGATCGGTTACATCGGTACATGACCTCTCAAAATCCTAAATTGCCCTTTGATAACTTTAATAATAATAACTTTAAATTGCCGACTCATTCACTCATTTCTTTATCTTATATATATTTTATTTAATCCCATTTGCATTTACCCATGGTACTATATTATGCCATGATAACCTTATATACAGCATTTACAAAAGGGTCGGGAGCCTAGATGACCTTAATCGGTCCTGCACACTGACCCGCACAAAACAATAATCAATCGCTGTTTATTACTGATGAAATATTTTCTTCATTATATTATTATCTATTATTGTTTATATTAGTGTTGATTTTGTTTTTGTGGCAATAAATCTCACTCTCTCTCTCTCATACAGTAATTTTTAATGTAATAATATTCTTGAGTGGGACATAATCATATACGATTTGCATTTTCACTATAAAGAAGGCTATACAAGCATTGCTAAATATGCAATACAAAGTACAGCTTTTTGACAGTAAATTATTATACTGTACCACACTGTTTGAACAACTATTGAACCGAAAAATCCATGGGTTTGCTTGATCGTTGATCTTAAACTAAAAGAAAAAGTTTTTAAATGATTCTGGACTCCCTATGCTGTAGTTATTATATCACATCTTCCACCATCCAAGTCCATGCATCAGCAACAATAATCAGGTTAAGCAATATTGAATACAGTCTATTCAATTACGTAGAGTAAACATGACAGATATTTTCAGATTCAAAATATCAGTGTTGAGACAGCAGACAACAGAGGGACAAAGTCAGCTAAAGATGCCTTGTTATTCTGGTGTCAGATGAAGACTTCTGGATACTGGAATGTTAACGTTCAGAATTTCACCACTAGCTGGAGAGATGGGCTTGCTTTCAATGCCATCATTCATACACACAGGTACTGTGACTTAAGCCTAAAATGATTTAAATATTCGAATCAATTTGACGTGATTATATTTGAAATTTGATATTCTTAATTTAAAGAAAATATATGATAGATTGATTCAAAATATAAAAGTCTCACAGTATGACGCAATAATTTATGAACACCTGTATTCCTCATGAACTAACCGCTTTAAGACTTATCTTGATTGAGTTTACTTTGGATGACCTGTGACTTGACTTTTGGTTTAGGGAGTAGCGATTTTGGGATTTGACTCAGGGTTTAGCGACTTCTACCATACACATGTAACGTGTATTTAACTACTATTTTTATGGTGATCTGTCTTGCTACTAGTTTATCCTGATGTATTTCACTCTGAGATATATGGTGGTCACAGGCAAACTAATGTACTCATCAACGCTGATATCAGAAATCTTCAGCTTGCATTACCAATGTAGCACAAGCCAGTGCTCTTACCTGTTACCCTCATGTCAGAATATTAGAAAATAGATCGGCAAGATTAAAGCTCCATTATGTATGAATCTTAAACCAATATTTTTTCAAATTCAGTCCTGAGCTAATTGAATATGGAAAACTCAAGGAAGAAAATGCAATAGAAAACTTACAAAATGCATTCAATGTTGCCGAACAAAAACTTGGAATCACTAAACTACTTGACGCTTTAGGTTTGTACTATTCTTTCAAGATTTTCTTTTCTTTACTGTAATTTGCTTGTAACTAAATCTCTCATTCAGAAGTATATGTGACTCATACCCACAGCCAAACTATATAGTTACTTCAATAACCTACCAACAGATCTCACCCACACCCAAATAAGATCTACATTCCTTTCATACACAACTGCTGTTAGAAATTCAGATAAAAAATATTTTGTTGTTCAATACACTTTTTATGAGTTTGAGCATTCACTGTGGTACAGTAGTTATAAGTAGACATGTTCAGTGTTAATAATAAATATTTAAATCCTATACTACATGTTTTGCTTTAAACAACCATCTGGGCAAACAGACACTTATTATTATTATCAGATACTTATTATTTTAGGTATTGGACAAGAGACTATTTTATGATGTGTTTTGTCTAAACAGGGATAAGCACCCATGGGAGTACTATTTTTGGAAGAGCAGATATCTTTCTAGTTAGGCATTAGCCACTCAGTTTACTACACTCTGGGTGATGCTGTGGGCATGGGGTTTGAATTGAGATGTGGGACTTGTGACCAACGCTCTTTACTTTTAAGACAACTTGTTGCTCTGGACAATATGGCACTGATATATAAGAAGCTGCTATTTTATGACAATATTGTATTTTTCCAATTCTGTCTTGCTTTTTTTTCATTTTCTATTCCCTGACCGAAGGATATTCAACCCCCAATACCAACATACTCAAGTCCAAATGAAAATGCCATACACTTAAAAAACTAACAGCATACTAATCTTTTAATTTTTATCAGATGTCGCTGTTAACCACCCCGATGAGAAGTCCATCATTACATATGTAGCTACATATTACCATTATTTTGCCAAGATAAGTGATATTGCTGTCATAGGAAATACAATTGGGAAGGTAAATTCACATTTTTAGATCATTATTATGAAACCTTTGCGGTTGTTTCTAAATTTTTTGATATTTAATAAAGCTATTAACATCCATGTATAGAGATGGCTGAAACCCACAGTCTGCTGTTCCTAATGCATTTTTAAAATGATATTTTAGAATATGAAACATAAAATATATTTTTACTTGAGACTTAAAACACAAAAGAATCGTCTGTTAATGAGTTAATGCAGAAAAGTTACGATAAACGATTATTCATCTGTACCTAACTGTTTCATGGCATCACAAATGAATTTTTAAAATGTTCATAATGTATGAAATTTTACTTACCGGTACTTATTGAAAATATATTGAATGATAAGTTGAAGTTAAAAACAGTTGAAAATGCCGTAATACAATTTCTTAGCAGCAAAAATGTGACGATTTATTTCTAGCTGTGAGCGGAAATGAGGGCGGAACGACCCAATTACTAATAAATAAATCCTTAATGATGAATAGATATACTATTTCATCCTTTTAAATAAACTGATCTACAATAAAAAAAAAATAGGAAAAAAAGTAATACATATATTTGTTGCTGTGTAAATAAATAATTATTATTATTATTATCTTATTATTTAAAAAAAAAACAGAGAATTTGGTTTAAAATTTAGTTAAAAAGTGTTAGATTAATTTAAAATTGTTATTCAATTCAGCTGCAAGCATTTCATTTCATAGTGATGCTGCACAAAAAGTATATATATATGACTATGGCTTGAACTTTTTTTTTTAATATATTTTTCTTGCAAGTCTTGAACAATTTTTACAATTGTTTGCAGCAAAGCCGTTTTTTAATGAGTTCAAGAGATGCTTCAGAGTCTGAAAGATCCAAGGACTTGTCAAATATTACAGAAAATCCACAATTCCAACATTTAAGATCTTCGAAGAAATCCAGATATTCATTCCAAGGTAATACGTACACATTTTGTTATGTTTTCATTGGTATTTAAAAAAAATTCACCTTAATAGTCATTTTACCATCATATCTTAAACGTCCATGGGGAAACATGTATGAATATTCTGGAAGAAGCCTATGTTCTAAGGACAGCTAGATTGCATAGTTTCATAGATTCCACAGTTTCTTATATGAATTACCAGTCCATGTCAAATGTAAGCATAGTTACCCAGATTATTTTAGATACATGAAGTTAGTGGTGGAGGGAGCCGTAACCACATGTTGTCAGTGGTTAAATGTAAATTTTTATTGTTGATTTTATCATGATGCCCCAAACATTAATCCGGTGCAAGTTATTATTATTACATTAACAAATGGGAAAAAAATGTTCAAATATGTTTTTCATGAAGCTTTCTTGAAAAAGTATTTCATACCTAGAATAGTGCAGATAATTTGGATCAAATTAGGATGAATTATAAATATATATTGTATTCTAATAAAACAAAAAAGAAGATTTTTCAAAACTCAGATAACGCACTCTGCTGTAAAAAGAGTTTGGTGTTAAAATTTTCATCAATTACATGATTAATAAGCCTCACCTGCGGCTCGCCAAGAAATTTCGTGCGGGATGCGAAGCATTCAGGCAAGTCAGTGTATGTTTGGCCTGAAGTCATAAACCTTTCGCGACTGTACAGAAAAAAACGGGAGTGCCAGTATGCCAGGCTATTTCCAATACATCTTATCACTGGCAAGGCTATTTTCAATACATCTTATCACTGGCAAGGCTATTTTCAATACAACTTATCACTGGCAAGGCTATTTCCAATACATCCTATTTTAATGAATCGTCGATCCCTTTTACAATGAATCAAAATAACCATCGTCTTAACCTAGTTACGCTGTCTTATCGGCAAACGCGTAGGGATTGGTGGAAGAGGGGTAACCTTACTTTGTGAAAATGTAATGTTTTGGCGCACGATACACGGGCTATCTGAAGTTAATATAACTTCATAATTTCAGCTCAATAATTGAAACAATGGAAGATCTTGAAAAAATGCCTACAATTTTAAAATCGGTCAATTGCGTCAGGATGAATTCGTTTATATTTTCTGCATCTAATGACTTGCGAAATACGGATCTTTTGTACAAAGCCCTCGCCACAAATGCAAAAATGTGAAATTTGATAAAAACACCACGTTCTGAAATAACAAACTAGTAATATCCAGTTGCGATTCGGGTTCAGAATAATCCGAGAATTCGAATTTCCGGTGCAATCTGCATTCCTAGCCATCACACTAAAACCGTAACTGGATTATTTCTATATTTCTTCGAGCGAAGACGGTTGTGTTTTTCATGGCTACACAAACTGTCATAAAGGTAGGTTCAATAAGACGTAGGTTGAAATACGTTTAAGTGCGCCATCAAAATTATCAAAAGGGGGAGGGTGTATAAATTCGAAGAAATCCACAAATTTCCATGAAACTGTCGCTGAATCAGGCAGTCTACTTTTTAGACGAATGATGTTTTTCTGTCATGTTATGTTATCGGGTAATGATTTTGCAGTTGCGCAAAATATTCAATTAACGACTAATCAGAGTCTATTTATATTGTCTTGCTTTTTTAATTTAATTTTGTGTTTAATATAACCTGCGGTTGCGTCGACAAATTAAGACCATTACTACAAAATATCATGGCAATCCACGATCCTAAAATGTGTTTCAAACTGCCCGATTCTATTTAATTTTTATTCGTATTTTTGCGATGTTACGAATTATACAAACTTGATCTGTTTTTGCAACACTGATTCTGCTTTTTTACAATTCTACCACCCAAGGTTGTTTTCAAAATTTCAACGTCAGAAAAATTCTTAGATCTGCGATGAAATATCTAATAGTACAATTTACTAGTACAATATGAAATGATTGTACAGTGATACCTCGGTACCATCAAGTCAAAATTGCCGCTGTATTCAAACGGGAATTCGGATCTTGAACACCCAAACCGACTAAGGGACAACACTAAAAGGCTGAAGGAAGAAACGGATGAAGTGGAGGAAAAACGGAAGTTGAAGTGTTCCCAAAGCTGAAAAATTGAAAAACACTTAAAGGCTGAACACTAAAAGGAAGAAGTGGATGAAATTTCTTCCGACGGGTGGTGAGGTGTCTGAAGTCACTAAGAACAATATCTGAATCTCAACCCTAGTTTAATCTGTAAATGCGGGAGATATCCCACAGCTAAGTTAACGGAACTAGACTACATACTCGCTTACCCGAGTAAGGCCTTTTGATACTATGCCAATTTTCACAAAGTATGCTAACGTCTCAACGAGCCTATTTTAATTTGAGCTAGCGAGCTCTTCAGCGCGTTAAAGAACTTTCGTGAATACCGATTCTCGGGAAAATGCGAGAAGAAGGCACTTTACGAGACGTCTCATTTGGCGCCAAAAAAGTTTTTTCGAATATTTACGAAGCTCTGTGAATACCATTTTTGCTTTTCACGAGAAAGTCGGTGCTTAACTAACAAGTTAAGCGGTAACGAAGCTTTGTGAATGGGGCCCCAGCTGTTGTATGTTCACATCATGAATTTATGTATTGATGTCATCTAGAATTTTTATTGTTTATTCCACTTATTTAGGCTTTTATAATTGGCTCAGGGTAGAGAAAGACGTCAGGAATGTTTTAATTGCATTACAAACCATGACGTTTCGTCCGGGTTACTAGAAACTTCCGAGATACATCCACAACATTAGATCCGAACGTTATATTATAAAGAACATACAGCTTAAATCAGTTCATGAATTTAGAACAATAGACCCGGATGATAACTTCTGATATTTGGTTCAATTACCATAACATTAAGTTGTTTACCAAGTTTTGACTTTTGTGGCAAAAACTGGACATGGAAAATAGGGGTTTTTAGAATTTTTTTTTATAGCCAAATATTTTACATTTTTTGCATAAAATCTAGATAAAAAGGAAGCTCTTGTAGAAAAATCGAAAACAACAGGGAGTGAATACACAGATATCAGATCCAAGCCAATCTCTAATATACAAACACAAGGTTACGTTGAAGAAAAAGCAAGACTAGAAGTAGCCACATCAGGTATGTGTTGATTCTCACAATTTCGATAATTTATTTCGTTTGAACACGGCTTTTGATTAACATTATTCAGCCTTTTATTAGTATTCAAGTCGTTGAGGGTGCTATGTAAAAAATCTGACAAAATGGCTTTATCTATCTAGCAAACCACACTTTCATGTTTTGCTACAACTAGACCATGTGGACGAATCATAAACCATCCTGCAGCTTCCTAAATCCCTGTTCAAAAACTGCGTTATTACCAATAACACTGAAACTTTCATGTTCAAGGTAACAGCACAAGACATAGGCCTGCAGATACACCTCCACCTGCGATGAAAACAATGTCAAATCCAAGAGAGGATAGAGCTTGCATTATACTTTAAATGTGCGAAATTCAGACTTTACGACAATATTTCACTAGAATACATTTTTGCCTGAAATAAATTTTTATCTGCAAGCCAACTTGGTCTATAACTAAGCCACGAATGTTTTTCTTTACTTTTTCGTTGTGATAGAAGAAAGCATGTTGCTGCGAAAGGGAAAAGAACAGCTGATAATTTTTAAAATGAAATTTTTGGATGCCATGTTTTGTGATTAATTTAGCCCAATTTATAGGCTCATTATTTATAATATAAATACATAGATTGTACCGATTATGTTGTTGTTTTGTTCTATTCTTTTTTTTTTATTATTGCATGTGCTTTTTACAAACATTTGGTTTGAACATTTGACTGATTTATATTGGTACTACTTACTTTGGTGTATTTACGGTGGGTTCAGTGCATCGCGATTATTGGCTGATTGCTCGATTATTTCTTGTTATGGTTAACTGTCTAGTACCTTAGTCAGTATTCAGATCTGTTCACAAAAGCTTATGATTGGTACTATAATCATTAGGGGTGAATAATCTATTTCTTAAGTTTTTTACATTGGGCTTATATGCGCCGACGAAGCATCATTTAAATGTAAGTGAATTGGTATATTCTTGCTTTGTATCATGCCTGGTTGCTTGTACTTATTACTTATCGTTCTTGATCGGTAAGTATGTTGATAGGTATTTGTCTGTTTGCCTGTCTGTCTGTCCAAAAGCTTTCAAATCCATGTATACAACGATAGTCCATATTGGTTACTGCAATGGCGTCAACAAAGGCACCAAACCAATGGTGCTTGACTGCGAGAAAGCTAAATTCACCCCTATGAGAGGTTTTGAAGACGACGCGGAATCTGTTTCAACACAATCAAGACAATCAGCGATTCAAAAACTTACATCGCTGGAAATGATGCTCGGGCAAATTGCTAATTATTGTCCTGTAATTGCCAGAAATACAATTGTAAACCACTCAACTTGTTTGGAAAATATTTGGCAATCAACACGTATGCATTTTGGATTTCAATCTACTGGAGCTCATTTTTTTTGACACATATTATAGGTGTGGGCTTTGGCAAATTATTATTATTACCTAACAATCCTAATTTTTCTAGCAAACCGAATTTTAATTCTATACTAATTTTATTGCGTTTTTTATATGTATATTTAATTCTGTTTTGTCATTTTATATTTTAGGTGAGTCACTTATTAGTTCATTTAAATTGTATATGTTTCAAATCGCTTTCCTGATTGTGTATTCAGTTTTTCAAATTATTTTATCATTTACCATGTTGATTAATGGAATCGAAATAAACGTATTCTAGTAACTTTCAGTTCATGAGTATGCATCATGTCACAGTTTTTATGCCTACATAGTCTTGCTCATGTGTATATCTCTCTCATGTTAATACAATTTTATCAATTGAGATCGAAAAATCCAATACAAAAAAAGGAAGTAAGCGAACAACCCAGCACTTGATGAATTTTTTTGTAATATATTTTTCTGCTCCAAATTAGCCAAATTTTTCACGATGCCCACTTTTTACTATATTTGTAGATGAATGTAACCAGTGGTAAATTGGTCAACCCTACAAGAAGTATGTTTTCTTTTTTATATAAATTTAGCTAGTAATTAACTGTGAATCTTAATATCGAACATGGGGGGAACTGGGGACTGAAAGTGATGAACGTATGTATGGTCGTATCACTCTTCCCGAATGTACCAAATAACTGTGTGTATATTTTTATTGATTTAATGCTAGTTGACAAAATTAATATCTCTCTTTCTCGGAATTTGTCATGAAAACATAGGATTCCTTTATTCCCAGTTCATTTATAGTTTCATCAAAACTGTATATCTATGGTACCAGTACCTGTATTTCTTTACAACAAAATATGTGATAAAACTTGACCTCTCATTCCCAGGGATTGAAATGAACGAAATTGAAAAGGCCAGATAAATGAAAATATCTAATATACATTGGAAAGATGCCTTATAACAGTGTCGTCCAACCTGTGGCCCGCCGAAGGTCCCCGAGTGGCCAGCGCGGTATTATTCGAATTCCGATGTCTTTCACAAATCCGAGCTACTATTAAAACTTCTGGAGCTCCCGAAGTATGCGAACCAAGATGGCGGACATCGGAACGTAACATGGGTAACAGGTTAGGGTTAGGCGATATTTTTTCCAATTTTCCCCATTTTAGTCCTATTATCAGTTCGAAGACTAGCCAAGCGCCTCCCGTAGTATTTATACCTAAAATTATGGCCTAACCCTAACCTAGTACACATATTACATTCCGATGTCCGCCATCTTGGTTCGCATACTTCGGGAGCCCCAAACTTCTAAATATTCCTCGTCGTTCAAACGCGCGAGAAGCACCATCCTGCTATCGAAAGCTTTTTTCAAGTATTTTTTTGCTGGCGTTATTACAAGAGAAAGATATTTGAATTTATTTGTATTGTCTGCCATGTATTTCAATCGTTTTTCTAGCCCTTTGTCTGTGAAGCTAGAATAGGCAGTTTTTATTAACTCAATATTTGACATCACTTACTTGTACGAGCAAGTTTTTTCACGGCGAACCATGTCAAATCCTCTGTGAGATCACTAATTGCTGACAGTCATATAAGAAATTCGCCTCGCATTGCTACATCGTCTATCGCACCGAATATTGACTGACTTGTTGGATAAAAACAGTCCCATACCTAACATTGAAATATTTATGTGTGGTATCAACTTTTGATTTTACTGTATCTTCGTATTTTCATCGATCTTATAATTTTGGTGTGAGGGTTTTGTTTGTATTTTCATTAACCTGTAGTCGGTGTAGTGAAAACTAGAGCATGACCCTTCGGACACGAAGGTTGGACAACCCTGCCTTATAGGTATTGTTTAAATCTTTTTCATTGAGGGTCGCAAGCGAACATTTTCAGCCAAAATTGCAATTTAATCCACTACTAGACACAAGTTCACAACTCATTTGGACATTTGCTTTAATGCGTGAAAAATCTTCCAGTTTTTAAGTACCAGCATTATAAAATTTGGTTGCAAGGCCATTTTGTTTTTCTGTCGTTATTACAACACACTCTTTAGATTAGATCTACGCGGCTTAACACTGCACCTCTGATTACACTGTGTAGGCTTTACCATAGACACCTTCAACAAGTGACGCCACCCATACATTTCACAACGTTTACAACCATCTAGATTCTAAAACAGGGTGGTCCAAGGTTGCGAGGTTGGGTGGGCCGCAAAAACTTTTAAGGAGGCCTCGTGGGTCGCAGTCGGAGAAAACCCAAAAGTGATCAAAACATCGCGAGTTTACTCACTTTAAAAATATTTAAGAATGAGAGTTTATTGTTCTAATCAGTTTCAAAAGAAAACTATATAAAGCCTTTAGTTATTTTAAATTGCTTTCCGAAAAATATCGTGGTATTTTCGGTATCTTTTCTCGTGTTTGGTTTTGTATTGTCGCTTAAAATTATATTCTTTCGTGGCAGATATTACGTGAAAACACACCAGGCACTGTAGTTCAACGTTGTTGTGAGTAAGGAAATACGTTTATTCTCAGCAGGCCTAGTGCTACCGTCTAAAAACAACCAAGTCCGTCTAAGTTGGGCCCTCGGACCCAGATAAAAAAAATGGCACAAAACTTCTCTTCAAATGAGGAGTTACTTGACGCGAGCTCATCTCATCAGCTTGGTCCTGTCTGCACACAACAATTTATTCTCCTTTTACCGATCACAGGACGTCATACCCATATAGCCACTGTCTTGACGTTTATGGATACAACAATGAAATTTCGTGATTTTAACAAACATCAATCCCGACATCGGGATTGGGAAAAGGACTATTCCCAGTTGGAATAGTTTAAAATCTGCCAATGGATTAGTAGTGTACGCTAAAATTGTTCTGTGGGCCGCAGTTAGGACCACCATGTCCTAGAACAGTGGTTTTCAAACTTCTTGGTATTGTGACACCCTCCGAAAATATGAACAGGTTGCGACTTCCCGTGAAAAACGTCTTGATACCTTTCAATAAAATACTTCTTTTGAAATGAGTTTTATTTATATTGTGCCTGAAGAGAACCGCTGTGGTGTCAATATTGAATCCCCCGAATCAACGTGTGGACGAAGTGCTGAACGTCGCTCGATATGCCCATGTTCATGTCGCGACGCCCATTTTGAGAACCACGGTTCTAGAACATAGGTTCTTAAAGTGCTACGTTCGGAGCCCCAGAGCTCCACGAGAGAAACCAAGATGCTCTCGAGCTATCTTATTACTTTCAAAATATTGACTTGGTTAATTTTGTAACTGCCAATAGATAGAGGCAGTAACGGCATTAATAAATTAAATTTGACGACAATAGCTTCGAAATATGGCAACTAGGTTGAATTCAAATATGACATGAGCAGAGGCACGGCCAGGATTCCTAACAGGGAGGGGGGTTCAAAATTCGAATCGAAAGTTCCCGCGCAACATTCTTCGCAATTAGGCCACTCGTTGAAAAAAAGACTTTCAGCGGATAACGAGTTATCTGTTGCGTAAAATATTCAATCTATGACCGATGCGAGCATTTCAAATGTCTTGTCATAACAATTTAATCGTGTCCATCGTTACTCGCCTTTGATTCGATGCGGCCATATTTAAAATGCCTTGTTTATTGGCTTAATTGTGTTCAATGTAACCTGCGGTTGCGTCGACTTGCGACAATATAAAATCAGAATTACTCAAAATTACCAAGGCAATTCGCGGACATGAAATGAGAGACAATGAAACAAAATCAAGTACACGAAGCTCTTGTGGACTACCGTATGTTCTGAACACCGCTTTTATCATAAGGTATTAGAATCAATGTCGTACTGCCCACAAAAGAACATACCTACTACTGGTGCCGGTAATTTTATAAGATATTTATGCCTGTTCGGATTAAATCGTAATCATAGGATAGGATTTACATATTTATCCCGGGGGAGAGGAAAGCCGATAAGACGGCTTATCCATATGGCGAACCACGGCCTCTCGTCCGGTTACCATTCCAAGTCGGGTATGGGATTAGTTTTTTACTGTATTTATTTTTTTTTCGGAAGCATGGACTTGGTGGTGGTGGAAGCCGTAACCGACCAGCGGTTACGTGAACCACCCAACGACTGCGAGGAGTCCAGCAATCCTCTTGCACATAACCATCCCTGCATGGGATTCGAACCTGCGAACCCACGCAGAGTAATTAGAGGTGCGGTGGCGAGCGTATCCCTAACGCTTAGCCCGTTGAACCACACCGCCGCGCCTGATCATGACTGATTGTGTGACAGATTACAGCGATTTAGCGGATTTGACAAATTTCCAATCGCGCACATAATCAGCCCCTTTTCAGTCTTTCAAAAATATCAAAAGGGAGAAGGTTCGACCGGTAATATATTAATATGTTTGTCAAGTGTCAACTTTACAGCCGTAACATAAATAACTTATCTTTGAAATATAAATTTATTTATTGCTTCTATTAACTCTATAGGTGTATATCGAAAATAGGTGCAAGGAGTCGGAATCCGAGAGTATCTGCTACATTAATAGTTGATTCAAAAATCGTTCAGAGTGGAGAGCGATAGCTTATTGCCCTCCTACGTTCGCTATTATTTTCAATGACCAGGCCGTTTTATCTTTTCCTCTTTATTATGTACATTATATAGATGTAATAGTTTGTTTGTATTCCTCATTAGACTCTATCAATTTTTCGTAAGTGCCTCCTAAATTGCATTTGCTGTAAATATTTTCGATTTACTGTTTGCCTTATATTGCTTTTAGTTACATATTCCGCCAAACTTGCCCTTCCTATATTTCTTCTGTGCTTTTATCTTGTTGTCCTCGCGTTTTTATTAGTTGTTAGTAATTATTCCGTGAAAGTTACATTTTCTGTTTTACTGTGTCATAATCGCATACATTTCGAATGTCGCTGTAATTGTATCAGTTATGACTTATTCCTAGGATTTATTCATTTTATCCCTCATTTAACTATATTTATTCTAACCTGTAGCGCTGTAGGTGTCGCTGCTTGAAGACCTTCTTAGATCCCTCGCGACTCCGGTCACGCAAAAACATGATTAGTACTGTAATTTATTCATTGTGTCACTTTATGTTTGAACGTGTTTTTTTTGTGATGACAAAATAAACGATTGATTGATTGATTGATTGATATTAAAAAGGTTTAGCATTTAAATTAAGTAAAGTAATTTTAACTTACTCAGGAATATTAATCGGTAAGTAACAATTTAAAAATTGATTTTAGGGCTCCGTGAATAATAGTCAACCTCTTCACGGGCTCGTCACACCAAAAATTCCTGTTCTAGAATATATGTTTGAGCGGAAGAAGTGTCTCAGCGACTTTACAAATTGCAGTTGTACGTCACTGTTGACTTATTTTTATTGTTATTATTAATAAAAACGATCCTTGTCATACACATTATGCATGAAATACAATTTCACGTAAAGAAAAAGTAAAAATAATATTCCACTTTCTTACATGCAGACCCAATTCACATTTCCATGTATAAAAATCGAGGTCTTCCTTCACGAAGTTTACATTTATTAATGAAAAATCTTTCATGTAATAAAACACTCCGTTGAAAGATTGTGGATTGGTCATTGTTATGGAAATTAACAAATAAATTTGTGCTCGGAAAAACGGGAAAAACACATTGAGGTTATACACCTCAGTGGAAAAAATCAAATTTTAATCTTCGTAAAATTTTGGTCTCGAGTTGGCGACAAAGAGAATTCGTAAAACTTTGTCATATAGTTGCCAGATTTTATGAATAAAATCTGCCTTTAAAATGTATAAGTAGTTAATTTTCCGATCTCAAAATGTGATTTTCGAATAATATACATTTTTGTTAGCGTATTTTTACATTTGATACCAAAAATACAAAGTTTTTAATTCAGTCATAATCAGGATTTTCTTCTTCATTTTTGTGATTCTCGAATGTGTGCTGATGTGCGCTATTCTCTGATATTGTTGTGGGGAAATTGGTTTATTGTATTCGTGGTTGGTCTGTCCGCTGGAACTGTTCGGAATAGTTACTAGCCTATAAGCATTTAAATATATTAACGTATGGAGAAGATGGGTGACGACGGCGATGAAACGAGGATTTCATCAAAATAATAAACACCATTAAGGTGAAATTTTCAAACAACCGATGGCTGAAAAGAGAAGATGTGAAGAATCTTGTATATGAGCAAATTGGACCTAAAACTACAGAACAGAACTAGGGTCTGGTATAGTTTAGTACCACATGCACTTCTTAGTTGGCCTGGCTCAACAATTTTTGCATATGTCAATCCTAATCCTCACCTGACTACGTCACCCAAAAATTACGTCATTTCGACGTCACAGTGGCGTGTAATAATGACCACCAAAGTATGCGAGTGGTCGTCCAAAACGCGCAGATGAGCACCCGAAATCGAGCAAGCTATCTCTCTCGTTTTCTCGTCACAACGATTACGATAGGAGAGAGATCGCCGGCTTAAGCGAGTTCTTTATCGGAGGCGCAGATGTCATTTCGGGCGATCGTAATTATACTTTGGCAAGCCCTATGACGTGATGGCGACGTCGTAGTGACGTAATTTTTGGATGGCATAGTCAGGTGGGGGTTAGAAATAACATATGCAAAATTTGTTATGCTACGCCCACTGGAAGTACCTGTGGTACTAAACTGTACTAGACCCCTGAACTATACCGTATCTAGCTTATATTCAATTGGCAGAACGTGGCGTATCAAATTCAAAACTGAAGAAGCATTCAATAAAGTATTGGAAGAAGGGATAAAATATAAATATAATGAAGAATGTTTCAAAGCCATCCCAGAAGGAGTAGGCTAATATCAAATGTTACCTGCTACAGTACCGATAGCGGTACTAAAATGACTATAAGCCACATACAGACATACCTGAAGAAGTACCAGATACTACTGTACTAAGATAAACCAGTAAGAATGGGCCTAGGATTTGACATTAAAATGACTTGATAGATGAAGTTACTGAGTTAGGACCACTGACCGCGAAAGTGAGTACGTTAGGCTACCACAGTCAGTTGTGTATCAAGTCATATATTAAATTAATTATTTTAACCAAAAATGGAATTGACGTATACATAATTCTGTAATTTTAAGTCACTTTAATCTGGACAAAAATAATAAATTTTATATTAGCGTTTGAATTCAATTTGGCAAGAAATAAGTGTGATAGTATATTCTGGCCTTTCAACTGAATAATCACTGAATAAAATACCTGTATCTGAATTGTAAGATAAGCTGATAGTGCCATAATACTGTAATATTTTAAAGATATGGAAAGTGAAAAATTTGTATCTTGAAGCAATTCAAAAAAAATTAGTGAAATATGATTTTGTAGTTATGGTAACTTAACCGAACCAAACGGCTAAAGTGGTGAAATTTAAGGTATTTAGTTGGTACCAGTATTTGAAATATGATCATTTGTGTGGCAAAACTGCAATTATAATCCATCCTGTGGTGTGTCAATTTTATATGAAACCCTTGACTTGTCCTGATTTACGTGAGAGTTCAAGCCAGTATGATATTACAGTATAGTACGGCACAGTTCTCCAATTCAAAGAATAGCCCCAACATAAATGGACATCAGTTATAACAGTGAGTCCTCCTTTATAAGACATTCCAGGCCTCCAAATTAGCAAACCAGTACTTGGCAATAAAGTAAAAGACAGCGCAATCTAAAATGTCATCATTGGATTCATCAGTTAAATTCAATTCCGATTTACAGATTTAGGATGGAAAAAAAATTTTCCTAGCATCTTAGAGTTTTTATCAAAATAATCCAAACACAGTAATTGATTTAAGGTATTATCTAAACAAGCATGCTGCGATGTAACCCGTTTGCAGTCGTGCCAGACCCCTCATTCTACAGGCAAATTTTCCTTGAACCAAGTGTAGGCCCATCTTGGAATTTGTATAACTGTGCCATGCTGCAGTATAAGCTAGCGAATTCCACATTACATAAAGTTATGAAAAAAAAAAATTTTCCTTGTCATTCTAGTTATTTTCTTTATTTTTACTTGGGTATAACTCACAAGACCACTTACATAACTTTAACACAGTATTATTGAGCATTCTGTGTCTTTATTTATACCCAGATCTAACTATTTCATAATTGGGAATGGAGGAGCTATCCCAGCCTTTAGAAAAATGTCTAAAGAGTTTACGAAAGCAAATGGACTTATGGACAAAGTTGGAAGAAGAATGTCAATCTACGGTTAAATCGATATCAAATTTACTGGAACAATTCGATAGCACTTCGAGATGTAATTTGGAAGATACACACTTAGGAAAGTCAGTTTTGAATGTAAAAGAAAAACTGCTCATCAAGCTTGTAAAACACATCAACAAACCGTTACAAATATTAAATAAAAATTTGTGCAAATACAAAAACATCAGTTCAAGTTTATCATCTTCATGTAAGGCATTCGAGCGTTCAATTGAAAAACAGGATTTTTTAATAAGCTCATCTTGGACTGTCAAAACACCCCCGGCAACACTTGTTCTACTCGGAGTCAATTCTATACTTGATTCTATGCAACAAATAAACACTGAACGAGAACTTTTTCTACAAAATGTAGAAAAATTTTCATTAGATGTTTTAAATGGCTGCAAGTCTAGTTTAGGATCATCAAAATTTTCATCATCCTGGGTTTCTAAATATGATATTAAGACAGATACTGCAGACTTATTACATTGGTGTCAATTTATTGTTTAAAATGCTGAGAAAAGCTCTTTCCTATCTTGAAATCAACTAAGGATCCGCTTTTGCCACTTATAGATTTCAAGTCGGCGGAGTATTTGATAAGTGCCTAAAAATGTTATGGGGAACAAGTTGAAAATATGACCTATACTTACAAAAAAATTGCTGTTATGAGTTGGTTTTCAGTCGAGTATAAGTATTTACATTCCATAGATGGCTGTGGTGAAGCAGTTGGGACTTCAAAATGTCTTGTTTACTTTATTTCTACTTGGTCAAATAGGCTACTTAAAATTACTGTCAAAAAGTAAACATTTTTATTTTAATAAAAACAGAAATATGTTTTAAAATTTGAACTCAAATTTTTCAATTTTCATATTTTCCAGGTTTATTGTTTGAAATTATAAAATATCAAAAGGTCAGATAGAATCATTTTTGATTAGAGTTGGTGTCGCACCGCGGCTTCAACAATCCAGTGCATTGTGGATTATCCTTCGAAGACTTGTAAGGAGAGTATCAGTACTTATTTTTGAATCAAAATGGCGACTGTACAGCAATTAACGAAGCAAAAGCATCGCAAGAAACACTTCAAAAAGCAAAAATTGAAATTATTTCGAGCTAATGAAAGTGTTATCAGTGTTTTTATGTGGGGAGTCAATCATACTGTAAGTCTATAACTGTTATATTTTGCAAAATTTTTTACATCCATTCAAGCACTTTCAGGAAAAACTGCTTGATTCTATTTAAAGAAAAATGGATAACAGGGCGCAGCACCGTTATCTGAACACTGACAAAAAGTGTCTCTTTGTTTATTTTTCTTGCGTGTATAGCTTTTTCCAAGACATTATATTTTATATGGTTCACAATTTTAGAAGAACCAATGTTTGCGCTGAATTTTGTTTGACTCTTTTGAATGTTAAGAAGTTAACAAACATGTCATTATGTAAACGATTTTTTAAAGTATCGATAGGCCTAAAATATTATTTGAATAACAACATTGTTGTTTTTTCCCTATCAAAAACGTAAGTGTGTAATGAATTACTCTTAAACATTGCTTTTTTAAAAATCATGGCACAAACTGTACCAAAGCACATTCAAATAGCGTTTATCATTTGGATGAATTTGGAAGGTCAATTTTAGGTTCGGTATTGTTTGCCAACAAAATTGTATTATAAAATAAATTAAATAAACCTTGTTCCCAAAATGTTGATATTATGAAAGTTCTTTTCAATGTTTGCAGCTCGATAATACGGGCTGAATCCACTGTGATGTACAGACACAAGTTACCCTCGTATCTATGATCAGGATTTTTTTGCCACATGATTGTACCTGCAGGCATATCTTACTTTAACTGTTTATAATTTTTGAGTATTGATAAGATATCAAATAAATAAAAATTACCGTAAGCTTTTTATTATGCTTCTTTAAATAGTAGTAATTTGAATGTGTGCTTCAAGTACAATGTGGTTTATCACATTTTTGCTATGTCTTTGGACGAGCAGTTCTTTAGAAGTACACGACTTGTGATTTTTTTGAAAAAACAAATGCTTACTAAAATGACATTAATTAAGTCAACTTTTGTGCATAATTTAACAAAGGATGTACCTACTAACTGATATCTAAATTAAACTGCCTGGTTATATTGATGAATGTCTGTGTGTAATACTATATCATCTTTTAGTTGCTTGATAACAGTGTGTTTTTACCATTTAGATCAAAGAACTTTCGTACATTCGTTGTCCACTGATGTTGATGCCTGATGACTTCAAAGCTTATTCTAAGGTCAAAGTTGACAATCATCTTTATAACAAGTAATGTGTTTTTTATTTGCATTTCAATTTTTACTCTTTACTTTTTTTATTAGATTTATAAAAATTTAAGAGAAAAATTTAACTCCACAAACACTATACCGTGTCAAGTAATCTCTACCCCTACCCCGTATTCGAGAAAACTAGTTAAACACTGGCCTATTAAATTTACTCTAGAAATTACAACAACCTTTCTCATTACATGTTGACCTCTGAACAGTGAGTTATGTGAGTAAAAAATGTTTGTGAATTTGTAAAATATAAAAATTATTTTAGAGAAACATTGCCAAGTCATTTCAAAGTGAAGGAATATTGTCCGATGGTTTTCAGAAGATTAAGAGAAAGGTTTGGAATTGATGACAAGGAATATGCGGTGAGATGTAAACTCTTTCTTGGATCTTTCAAGAATAGTTTAAAATAATTTTAAGCTCTTTACACACATTGATCCAATTTTTATCATACAGTATATTATACTTAGATTTCAAGTTGAAATTTATTCGCCTAAACTACTTTGTTTTTGAAAATCTAAAATAATTTTTTTAAAATTTATGTATGCATTTGAGGTATGCGCCATTTTCCCATCCCCTATACTAGTAATTTTTTTGTATAGCGGAACACCCTTTTTCATCTAAAATTGTGAGCACAAATGAGATTTTTGGGTCCACAGAAAACTGGTTGAAAATCACTATCCTGCACTGTCTCGATGAGGTTAATTTCTGTTTTTATTGCTTCCTTCACGGCCCATCCGGAAAGCTTAACTAGTAAATTAATTATTTACCATATCTGACCCTGTCACAAGATGGAGGGTCTCTACATAATTAATCCAGCATATCGGCTTTCCTCTCCCGATGATAAACATGAAAATCTTATCTATTTTACATAGAATTCATTATGTCTTCAACAACCAGTCCGAGTGGAAGATGCGGGAAGGTCAAGAGCAAGATTTTTACAGTCAGTCGACAGAAAATTTGTCATCAAGACTTTACAGAGCGAAGATATTGCTGAAATGCATACTATACTACCTACATATCATCAGGTAATATAAGTGAACATTGGTAATTTACTAATTTTAATTTTAGATGCGCGTTATCTGAGTTTAGCGGGCTAACCTTTGATAACAAAAACTTTGGCGAATGCGAGGGTTTATCAATAGATATTTAAGAAGATTAATTAAAGCTTCAAGTTTTAGTAAAATGTTTCGATATGGTACAAATTGAGATTATGCTTGGGAATAGCTTAGTGAAATATGTGTGTTATACAGACTTGTGAAGTCCAAAAAAAATTTAATGGGAGACTTGTATACTAGTGTGATTTATGTTTTATTATTGTTTTCGTCTAGGCCTACTTGCTGTTGCACATCGATAGAATACCTACTATTTTATTCAGTAGAGGAAGTCACTGATTTCCTTTCTGCATATGCACTAGATATCATAAAGTCTATAATGAATAATGAATAGGGTTGCATTATGCATTGCAAATTAGCCTTAGGCCTATGTTGTACATATTTCCATAGGTGGTTTTTATTTTAGTTCTTTCTGCATATTGCATTTCAATATCACATATTTTGTTAATTAAGTTTATTATAAATTTGATATTCTCTGTGAACGCAAGTTTTGAATCTGAAATACTTTTTGAAAGACAAAACTCTTACTTTATGGTTAGTGAAACGTAGTAATATGAGTCTTCTAAATTGTTGTTTATTCCTTTATTTGATCAATATAATGAAGCATGACATGAAGTTTCTATTTTTGAATCCACGTTTGCTGGTTTGACGTCATGTAATCTCATAGATAATGCAAGGTGGTCTTTTCAACGTTGTTATGAAATTATATTGACTATTATTTTGGGTGCTCCCGTAGTGTGTGTACCAGGTTAGGTTAGCCCATAATTTTTTTCCGATTTTCCTCATTTTAGTTCTATTACGAGTTCGGGACTGTCTGGGTAAGACAAGTGAATATACCCCTGCCCATCGGTTTCAGTCCTTTTACACAACTTCATGTAAAGTAGGCGAACAAAATATGTTACCTCCATATTGGTACACCTAGTTCTGGAGCGACTTATTTTGTGTGAAAATGGAACATAAATGGTGTAAAATCACTATAATTTGATGGTGAACGAAAAAAAAATAGTAATCTCCAAATAGCTTAGTTTGCATAAAATCTTCTGGAGATATTCATGAAAGAAATTTAATCAAGGTATATTCTCCCGGATTTTATTTTACCTAAACCAGGCCAAAAATTTAAATTATACACTTATGTTGGTTTTTTTATTATTGAAAGCTAACTTATATTTATATATGTCTGTGTGACGAATTCCATCCTCCTGAGTTATAATTATGTCTCATTGTTGTTATATTTTTCCCACCCTTTCATGTCAGTGGTTATAATAAATCTTCATAAATTATTTACTTTTATACTCTGGAAACAAGATTTTAGTTTTATCTACTTTTCTGCTCGGAATTGAAAATGGCAGAAGTAATTGGTTGGTCAAGGAAATCTATTTACAGAAATTTAACTGCAGAAAATTATTCAAAGCAGCATATTTATTCCTAGAATAAGTTTTATTGTAAGAACAACAATTTTAAATAAGTATAAAAATTTTGAAAAATGAAAAATAATGGTAAATATTTCTTATTGTGTGATAAAAATCTGTAACTACAAAGCTGAATAAACTAACATCTGAGAATGCCTCTAGTTTTGATAATGAAGACCACTTGCGGCCTACTCATATCCAATTTAGGATTATGACATGGTTACTATTTACCCGAAGATGTAGGTTATTGTGAATAATTGAAACTTGGCCAAATTGGACATCAAGAATGCCAAGCTGTTTAGAGCCTATTTTCAGAGTGAATAGGACAAATAGTATCAAAATTTTGATGGATAATTTCTTTTGCATAATTAATTATTAAATAATAATAAATTACTTCCAATCTTTTTATGGCGATATGTGTTCTTAAAATTGCATAGAATAAGATAATACAGTAGGCTTTCGCCATCTGCCTAGTGAAGAATTCACCCTAAGATAATAATATATCCATCATGATAAACCCACAATTTTTCCAATTATCTGCTGTACTCGTCTCTCCTAGAGCATAACCCAATATGACGTATTTGGTGGCTTGGCATTTTTTCAATATATTGTTCTGTTTGGTTTAGCCGGCATAAGCAACAATTGGTTTCGGTTGGCGATGCTCTTGGCAGCTGAGTAAATTAGATATTAAATAGATAATAAATCTTTTTCTTATGGTTCATAGCGTGCATAATATTTCAGTTGAAATCATATTTTTGTTCTCTGTTAGGAAGTTATGTTTTATTTTAAATTCCTGTTCTGAATTTGGATATTAATATTTTAATAATTAATCGAAGAATTATGAGTTCACATAACCTTGTTACGGGTTAGTTGGGTCATATCATAGGTTAATGAAATGGTTTTTAATTTATACTTTTTTGTTATAAAGCAAACATCTAAGGGAGAGGTTGATAGTGTTTGGGCAAATGGTTGTAAGTTTTGGATATTGTTTGATAATATGACCTTCCTGAAAATTATTATGCAAAATACAACTGTAAGGTTATGCTTCATGTATTCGTTACATTTGGGCCATTTGCTGTTCACGCCCATTTGAAGTTATAGAATGGTACTTTCAATAAAACTATGAAATGTCCAGTATTATCAATTGTTGCTTGCCTGGGTCTTGTTTGGAGTGCACATGTAACAGGCTTTCCGAAAATTTAACACTGGGGTTGCAGAGAGCTTGCTATTTCAAAATGGCACTTTAAAACAAGGAAACACACTTTAAAAAATTGAGAGATTTTCATAGATTGAGTGAAAACAAAATAGCGAACCAGCTTCTAAGATATTTATAACATTGGACAAATATGATATTTCATAGACATTTAAAATAACATCCCCTTATCTATATATAGTGGAAAAAACTTTGTTTGCCTATTGTTCCAATGCTTGAGTATTTGTGAGCCCTGCTATTTATAACTTGAATTGAAAGTGAAACATTACACACTTAATCTTTTTACGCTCGTTATCTTTCACATTTACTCTGTTGTTTTAACTTCTTGTTGATGCTTTGTGCTCTAGCATGAACTCTGAACCCAAATGAGTTCATTTTTCGTCAGAAGAGGTTTTGTAAAATTTATAAGCGAGAGACTCTGTTAATAACAGAATGAATTGAATATACAAACGCTTGATTATATCAGAATTCATCACTATAAGAATAATTTTGGATATTTCAATTTCAAAAATTTGTCATTTATTAATATCCGATGCACAAAACAAAAAGTAGAATTCAATTTAAAATACTTTGAAAATGGAAAACTATAAATCAGAAGAATGTTTATTTCCGCTTTTCTGGAATGTATCTGTTGAACGCGACCCAGAATATATTCGATATTCAAAAATATTGGAAAATATTATTTCGAAATATAAAAATTATCAGATTTTTTCTATCTCTGATAAACTTATAAATTGCAACTATATTTGGAAGACTGTTTTTTTTTAATAAAATTTAACTGTCATTTTGTAGTAAAACAACACACTTCTTCAGACGATTATCTCATCATAGATGCCTACTTGGCCTTCTCAAAGAGATATAGGGCCTACATAAGACCCTGGGCATGATGGCCCGGTCGTTAAAGTATTAGACATAACTATGTTGGTAGTACGGTAACCAATAGTACGGTAACTAACTAACTATGTTGGCGTAACAGATTACACAGCTGAGGTTGTGCCCATGAGGCATAAACACCACATCACTCAAGGTATAATAAATTGGGTAGGCAAGCGAAACCAGAAAAAATGTGATCTTTACATATCGTTAGATACCGATGGATTTTTGTGCAAGGCCTTGTTCATAGCAAACTATGCGGTGAATGACACCTCTACAAGGAAAAAGTACAGGCTAAGTGAAATTTTCGCCATTCCTATTTTTTTTATTTATTTTTTATTCTTGGGTATAGTAATGGGTACCCCCATAGTGTGTGTACCAGATTAGGGTTAGGCCATAATTTTATACCGATTTTCCTTAATTTAGTTCTATTACGAGTTCGGGGACTGTCTGTGTTATCCAAGAAAACATACCCCCTGCTCGTAGGTTTCAGTCCCTTTACTAGGGCTGGGAATTTCAGGGAAAACACTTTAACCGTTAACCGGGTAAAATTAACCGGTTAACCGCCGCGTGACGTTTGACGTAATAATTCATAATTTCAGCTTGTTACGTCACAATGCTTATAAAGCAATTTTGCGTGTTCTTATCCCGGTATCGCTTATTAAAATTATTCATGAATCGAGATAGTTTCATGATTGCTCTGCTGCAAGAAATAGGCAGCGTGGTCCGGGCGTGCGGAAGTATTTTAGAAAAACTGATTCCGTTGTAAACACAATTTATGTGACAAACTATCAGTGTTCGATGTGCAAATTTGCCTTCGAGATATAATCATATAAAGAAAAACGGCATAAACTGCGCACTTGTTGTATGACATTGAATATCCGATTTTGCAATGACATCGTGAACAATATATTTCGAAATCGACCGAAAACTGATTCTGAATTCATCATTGTCAAATTTCCATAAGCAATCTTGGTACTTCCATCATTTTTCACATTCATAGAGTCCTTACCCTCATAGTTAGTAAAATTCTTTTGAATAAAATGCCACAAGAGATAAATTTGCGATGACGTAATCATATTTGAAGAAATTGTTAGGTATGAAGATGATTTGTACCTGAGATGTCAGTTTACGGTTAAAATAAATCGTACCCATTAACCATCTGAAATCAGTTAACCGGTTAACCATTCCCAGCCCTACCCTTTACACAATGTGATGTAAAGTAGGCAAACAAAATTACGGTAGTTACCTCAATATTGGAGCATCTAGAAGCCTAATGACTTTGTTTTTGAAGTCCGAGGTACGATCGAAAATTCATCTCGTCTATGTAATTATATGTTTCGTGCATACTAGATGCAACCCTTAGTTAATTATGCATATTATAATACTGCATGTATGTTATCGTTTACTAAATCTCA